TTTTTTAGGTTGGGGAGGGGAGAATAGATACACCACTGCCTCTTTGAAGTGCTCTCTATACTTGCCAGGGAACTGTCCATGTGCAAGTTTTTTTTATGGATTTGATTTCACATCACACTTAACAGTATTACAAGCATTGGGTTGGATTTATTTCAAATTGTAAACATTTAACAGTAATCAGATAAGCCTACATAGTCAATAAGGAAAGATATCAAAATCTAAGACTATTTCAGGATAACCTTTGAAGCATGTCTGATTTAAATATAAAAGTTACTTTTAATGATTAAATTATTTTAACATAATTTTTACCCATTGTGCATTGCAGTAAACAATCTATGACATCATACTTTGCAGCTATTTCAGATTCTAATTAAAAGTATTAAATATGCCAATTAGAAAACTTAAGATAGTATAAAGAATATTACAGATTGATAACAACTTGATAAGTTGGTGAGATCATTGTAAATAGGTCTGGAAGTTGTTCTATATATATTTTTTTGTTTATTTGTATTATAAGGATACAAATGCAGTATATCTGAAATGTGTTGTTTGTTTTTGTTGGGTTATGTTTTTGGACTGATTTCAATGGATGTGTATCCTCACTGCTTGTAAAACAGGGGTTGAAATTTGCATTGTGTAAATAATGTACAGATATAGCCGACTTTTGGGGGAGTCTTACTGCGATATTGCATGTGTATAGTCTTGTAAATTATATGATATGATATATTACAGTAGAAAGGTTTTAGCCAGTTGAGGTTTGCATTTAAACTTTGAACTCTTAGTGTGTACATACATTATGCAGCAGCATTACTCATCTATTTATATAGCGTTAAAAGTTTTGATGCAATAACATTTGGGGGAACATAGGTTTGTAAAGAGGGCCAAAGCGGGTATTATAGCAGGGTACCAATGTTTATTTGAAAAGTAACTTTTAAAGATGTTATTAATGATAGTGTATTGTTTTTGTTCCGCCAATGATATAAATACGTTAATTTATTGCCATCCCAAGAAATTTTAAGATTTGATATATCTGTAACTTAATGTCACATCAAATTTATTTTTTCTACATGCAATGATAACACGATGTGATGTAAGTACTGAATGAATTTGAAACTTTTGTGTAGGATTTATTAGGTATTCAAATCTTTTATTCAAGATAAATATCAAAATACAGTATTAAATGATTGTATAAAATCATTGTTGATTTTTTGTTCCAGCATTCTTTAGTAAAAATAATGAGAGATGTTAAAGAAAATCAGATGAAGAGTCTGTAGTCATTAAAATAATTTATTTGTATTATTACAAAATTTTACAGAAAAGGGGAATATCATTCGCAAAATTAGTGCCTTCCTTCCAGAAAAAAAAGGTGCTCTCAAGAATGTAAGAGTGTATGCTAGCGATCTTAATTCCAGTTTAGATCCTGGAAAACAAATTATTGAAATTACAGCACAGTGTGGGCGACATAATGTTTGTAACAAGGTTACATTGCATTGAGTTTACATATTACGTAAGATGATGCATGTATGATAATATGATTAAATCAAAGCTGAAAATCTGGTTAAAAAAAAAAAATAAGAAAAACACTTTTTTTTCTGTAAGTGACGAAGCCTTCTGTGTATTTATAAGAAATGGGTGAATTTTGATATTCATATAAGCCTATTACAGTGTCTAACATGCTATACTTAGTAGTACAAGTACAGATGGTATTATAGTAAACTTTATTGTATAAAACAGTTTATTCTATGAATGAAATGGTTGTGGTTTCATATTTTATATTGTATGCCATAATTACTGTATACTGAGTTATAAAATAAATGTATACCAATCTATTTCATTACCAAGTAAATTAAGAAACATGCATATATGAGGTGTATATGCATGAGTATGCATGTATAAATTTTTTTTTTTTTTTTTTAACGATGAGATTCAATAATGTATTTACTATAAAATGTAAAGAGCTGGTGCTGCAAAATCTAAAACAAAAAATTAGAAGCAGTTTTAATTGATAATTGTGGTAGAAAGGGCGTGGTTAAAAGGGCTTGGCTAGAAAACGTCAGAATCGGTTAAATGAGGTTTAATATCACATTAATAATAGTGACATTCGTATATAAAAAAAGCCATCAACTGAATCTGGGGGTGAATGTTCTTCAATGATATCATATGATATCATATTATAATAATAACCGCTTCAAATCACAATAAAATTTATTGCTGTGAAACAAAACAGTTATCCTGTGTTATAATTTTGTTTTCTTTGCATGTCCTTCGACATAAATCGTTTAGTTTAACTTGTTATCAATTCTCTCCACCTCGTAATACAATGCTTAATGACTAGATATTCTACTGATGGTTTATGGTACTGCTGTATCTAAAAAATACTTCTGATTCTATTTCATCAACATAACATATAACATTCACGAACGTTGTGGTTAGGTTTAAAGGTGACAATAACAACGTTGGTGCAACGTTTCCAAAGTTTTAATGAAGATTTGTTTTGTTATATCTCTGGTAATCTCCGTGTAGGACAACGACCGCATTCAAAGCTTAGGCCTTACTGCATTATTGTATCATGCTAGTAGCGACATATATACTCTTAAATAAGTATATTTCAATCTCTGGGATTTAAGAATAAACATTATGACACGGTTAGTGTGTTATGTGGAAATTTGAATTAAAGATATACCGTACTGTCTGTCAATTCCGTTTTTCAATTTCTTAATTTTTACAGTATATTTAAGTAAATTTACTTATTTACAAGGCCCCTTAAATTGGCCGGTACACCTAATCAATTTAAGGATTTTTGTATGAAATTTTATGTGAAACGTTTTCATTACAATTGTTAAATATCGGTTAGTTGTTGTCGACTTTGAATGAGTAGTATGACACCTGTCTCTTATACACATCTGACCCTGTCAGGCAAACGGGCACCGCCTCTGCATCCCAAGGCATAAAAGGCATGATATTATTATTATTGTTCAGCATGTACACTCAGCCAAAGTTTCGAACATCTGCGTGTTTGACCAATAAATCGAAATTGAATTGAATTATTATTATTATTATTATTATTATTATTATTATTATTATTATTATTATTATTATTATTATTATTATTATTATTATACAGTACTAATTAGGCTTGGTTGCTACATTGAGCGGAATCGATCAAATACAACCTCAAATAAACAAGTGCTGTGCTTTAAGGGGGATACGCCCATTGCGCCCCTACCAGTCTCTCACTCCGCGCCTCGCACATTCACTTCCCGTTTATAACAGGCTGGCTTCACTCCTGCTATTTCCCATTGGTAAACATGATGACCTAACATCAAGGAGGTACGGTACTCCTTGTTAACCGCCCGCGCCAGTTTCTTAACGTCTAAAACTCTATTCACACTAGTGACATTTTTTTTCTTTAATTGGCATTGCCGTTATATGGGAATGATGACAAATCACATCACATCCGTATGGGCATTATAATGTCATATATCATGCATACGGGCAAATCACGGTTGTCACATAAAATTTGATAGTGTAGCGCTGTAGATAGACATAAAGCTGCGAATCATCCATGATATATTTATATCTATGTTTAATTGCGTTTTCAAAAGCCTGGATCCTCAAAATTGATCGATAAAATCATGGAATTAGAGCAGTTCAGATTATTACAGCAATAGTTTCTGTGAAACTGTTGCATACTCCAGTCATGTTAAACCAATAAAATAAGATGAAAGCAGTATGCATTAATTATAACACACTTGTTGTCTGACTTATAATAATAACAGGTTTTGTGAGCCATCTTCCAACGAATGTCTATTGAAACAGAAAACAGTGTTGAAACAGAAAACAGTGCCAAACCTTAATTATTGCTGAAGTGTTTGTTTCACCGTAATTTCTGTTTATAATGAGACAGTAAAAGAGAGTTAAGAGACATAAATTGCTCCTGTTGAACAATTCACGTCACGAATCGAATGAATTATGGTTTAATTAATATAAGAAATGTTGTCAAATGTAAATATATTCCAAGTTAAGTCCAGGCCCTTAATACAATGATAGGCCATACAAATTAACATTTTTTTAGAATGAAAAAGGTCTAAACCATTAAATCAGGAGGCATAATACTTCTACTATATGGACACTGTTGAATAAAATTGAATATTTAGGCCATAGACCTACTGATGAGTTATTTCTGAGGTTTGTTTTCTTGGTCTATTAAATGAACACCAATATTACAATCATTTTTTGTTCTTCAGTGGGTCCGACGTTATGATATGAATTTAATTGTAAAGTTGTGTGCTTTTAATTTTTCCGGCCACACGATCGTTAATAAGGCATCCATGAATTATGTCCACAGCAAAATCGTAAAGAGACAATATTTGGTTAGTTCGGAGAGGGGGGACCAGGGTGGGGGTCGCTGCCCCGGGGGCCGGGTCTACCGGGCACCCGGACCAAGATGAAAAAATTATCGTTTATTCATCAGATTATTCTGATACATCTACATTGCAAAAAAATAATCACATGGAATCATATTCATGTATGTGGGTTTGGATAAATATGGTAGGGTCTTAGGAGGAGACTTAATTTGGGGAGTGGCCGAGTGGGGGTCCCAAGTGAAGGCGGGGGGCATGTGAGGTGTTGCCCCGGGGCCCTTACTGGCTCTCGACGCCACTGACACGAGCAAACCACTCAGGACAAATCCTGCCGAGGAAAACTGTACCCCGGGGAGGAACACTGCTTTGAAAAACCATTTTTTCAGTCCGACAATGCCATTTCTGAGCGTTCAGTGTTTCTATTCTTAAAATTTGCTCCGAACATGGTGGAGTTAAATAGCTTAGTGATGCTTGCCTTTCAGTCCAAGGGGTCTGGGTTCGAGTGGCGAAGTAGGGGATCACCTAAATTCTTGAAAATAAAAAAAGGACAAAAAAATTTAAAGTTTTAGTGTCATTTCCGACCATCATAGTCATAACATTTCGTACCACAGCCCCAACCATGGTGGGGGTGAAATGGTGTACACCGGAGGCATGAGGCGGCAACAATTAGCCCTATGATTCTATGTGCCATTTTCCACCAAGCGACTGTGACATTAAATTGCAGAAATTATTATTTGTCTTTAATGAATATCAATATCTATTACTGGCAAATGAGCAGCAGATGTATTAAAAAAGATCATTAACGTCAAGAATGCTTAACTTTACTCCGCTGCGTATTTTACCAACGACAACAATGATCAACCATGGATCAACCAAGACTTATTAGCCTACCAATTTAATGAAGATTTGTTTTGTTATATCTCTGGTAATCTCCGTGTAGGACAACGACCGCATTCAAAGCTTAGGCCTTACTGCATTATTGTATCATGCTAGTAGCGACATATATACTCTTAAATAAGTATATTTCAATCTCTGGGATTTAAGAATAAACATTATGACACGGTTAGTGTGTTATGTGGAAATTTGAATTAAAGATATACCGTACTGTCTGTCAATTCCGTTTTTCAATTTCTTAATTTTTACAGTATATTTAAGTAAATTTACTTATTTACAAGGCCCCTTAAATTGGCCGGTACACCTAATCAATTTAAGGATTTTTGTATGAAATTTTATGTGAAACGTTTTCATTACAATTGTTAAATATCGGTTAGTTGTTGTCGACTTTGAATGAGTAGTATGACACAGTTCCTTTTAGTTCACTGCAAACTTTTATTCACACAAACTGCACGTTGGTTACAATCAGCTAACTCCAGGTTTCAGATGTTAGAGAACACTTTTAGAGTGGAGTCAGCTCAGCCCTGTACTTTCTTCTGTGTTGAATCTAACTACTGACTACTCACTACTCACTACTACTCAACTACTGACTACTCACTACTCACTACTCACTACTACTGACTACTCACTACTACTCACTACTCACTACTACCATTTTATACCTCCATGCTACTACTGACTACCGTACTCACTACTCACTACTACTGACTACTCACTACTACTGACTACTCACTACTCACTACTACTCACTACTCACTACTACTGCCTCAGTGATATGGGGTGTTTGCATATTATACTTAGGTAATGGGGGTGTGTCTCAAGTAAGTCACCCCATACTTTTAGAGTTTCTGATTGGATCATAGAGAAATTCTTTCTCTATGATTTAGTAACTTGTTTACCAAAACTGCTAATTAAGATGTATCACAAACTTCAGAGCTTAGGCTCAAAACTGACAATCATTTAATACTATATAACACAATGTTAAAAATAAAGACATACAATATTGTACATTAGAAAATACACAGTTGAGGTCACGGGCTTTTAATCATAAGGTCGTGGTTTCGAATCTCTGCTGTGCTATATTGCTTCAGTTCACCCAGCTGTATCAATGGGAACCAGCAAACTGCTGGGGACTAACCTACGATGGACTAGTGTCGTGTCCAGGGGGAGTACAACTCTCATCCTCTTCACACCACAGAAACTGGGGATAAGCTCCAGCCCTATGAGCCTTAGTGGCTCGGAAAGGATTTAGTTAGAAAATCACAAAATGACCACTTAAAACATGGACATAATTTTTTTTTTTTTTTTTTTAATTAACAAGAGATTATACAGTGCCCCTTTATAAGAACAAGTCCTTTAGGACTAGGCACAAGCTTCCTTACTTAAAAAAAAAAAAAACAAAAAAAAAAACAGAAAAACGATTTGTACTTTAAATATAGGCCTACTTTTTTGAACACTTTCAAATAGCTTACAATTTTGTTTTTCATTTAGGCCTGTACTGCTTCTAAAATAATGATTAAAAGGGACACATCTGATCTGATAAATTTAAATTAGGGTTGTTTCTAAACATAAAAGGAAAAAGGTCCCAGATGTCAGTGAGTAGGATGTGAGCAGGACATAATTATGTAGAATATTGACGTTTTTTGTGTGTATAATCATGGTCTGTATTATATTTAAAAACGTTGCTGCAACGTTTTGTGTTTGCTGGGTTGAATAATTAACTGATTATGCTCAGTATTCAGTGCTATAAATTGGCATTTTGAATGGTATTGCCTGTCTTATGGATTATTAAGTCATAATTCTCTAACAAACAATACCCAGCAAGCTACAGTAATGACCTATGTAGACATATGGCTTTTTCACAACCGATTTCTCAACATGATCAGGAAACGGTCGGTAGTACGATACGATGATTTTAAATCCTGCTAGTTTCTCCAATTCTATTCAGTTTTATGATACAGTAGGCCTAATTGTTTTCGGATTTATGTAAAACCCTTCCTCCCGACTATGACTGTTTAAAAGTCATCTTGAATCTAGGAAAATAATATGAATAGGCTAAACGTATGTGAATAGTCAATCCATCGAAGCGTCTGTAATATCCTGTAAAACATAGGCTATGATTTAATTTGTTGAGATATTGGAAAAACTAGGCTCCTTATGGGTAACGTTTATAGGGCTGCAGGCTACTGCAGATGATGACTCATACCTCATTAAACAAGAGGAATTAAGCCATCTACTAAGAATTATCGTAGGTGGACTATGACCTTCAAATGATTTAAAATTAATGTTGGCACTGTCAGTAAATAATATTTACACCGATTCATAATTAATTAGTTAATTCATAATGTATTAAGAACAATGTCAAAAGGTGTTATAGCATGCCGATGATACAAGGATGATACAATTAATTTTTCTGGTAATAGGTTGCTTACCTGCCTTTGTTAATGTCAATTGTTGACCTCTCTATAAAGAGGCAAAAGCAAATCACATTTTTGAACAAGGTGTTCATTATCCAATAAACTCACGGCATTTAAAAATACGAAAGATTTTCCTTCACGTACATTGGGTTAAGAGCCTATTTCAAATGAATTAGCAATCTGGAACCCCTACCCCACCATTTGATTGTTTTGTTCAAGTGAAAACGAAGGAAGTAAAGATTACTACACTAAAAAGATGTGATCTCTTTCCCTGCGTTGCGTTCGCCAATGAAATTTATTTTAACCTTAAAATATAGGACTCAGCAGCTGTAATGAAACAAATTTCAGGACGTGTGCTATATATTCCTTAAATTTAGCTGTAATTTGCAAAACCTCCTTCAGATTATATATATATTTTCAAAAGCTGCTATTTATTGAAGACCATCAATCAAACTGGTGATGCTGCGCTTATTAAGTAAACAAAAAAAAGGACGTCTAAGCAAGTTCAATATTTCTATTTCCTCTTCAGACTTACGACATTTGCCAAAGTAATTTGGGGAAAAACTCAAGGTATTCAGTTTTTCTCTTTCTTAAACACGACTATAGATAATTTAGCAGGGACATCACCTCGAAGTGGGATCCAAAGTCCCCCCAGTTGCGGGCTCAATACCGGTACTCATGCAGGGATCACATCCACCTCAGCTCCCGGCCATAGTTGGAGCAAAGTTTAAGTACACGCACGTCTAGAAGCCCGGGAATGTGGCACTTTCACACTGTCAAATTGTTTTTTCAAAGCAGTGTTTCTCGACGAATTGATAGGCTTCTTCTCCGACAGATGGTTAGAGATCCCCGGCGGAGGAGACCAGTGTACCCGCCGGCACCGCTACTGTAATTTAGATTCATTTTAATCTCTGGATTTTTAGTAACCCATGTCTATCTTGCCATCATTCAAAGACTGGATTCTGCTTCTTGTTATTGGCAGAAGTATTTTCAAAATTCTGGTGCGCCTGGGCCTGACTCATACAGGCGACCAATGACCCATCCATGGTATTACGAACACTATACATCTCGGTCTCCGGTTCGAGACCCCCATAACTTGAGACCATTCAATTGTTTCAAATACCAACTTACAAGCTTCAATTGTTTAGCACAAAGCTACATACTGCTTTAATTGGGAGATTGAACCACAAGACCACTCCATATTTTCAGGTCCCAAAGGTAATCTCGAATTGGAGGGCAAACTGTAATATCATACGTGCACATCAGCGGAATCCATAAAACAACAAAACACTCGAGTTTACATAACAGTTTTTAATAGCTCATTTCACAATATTTTTAAATATTATTTGTTTTAAAATCGTCTTTTGGACCTTATTTTATTTATTTTATTGTATTTTTGTCTTTTTTTCTAATTAAATATTTGCAAGATAGGCCTCATCCCTCGGAACCAAGCGTAATTAAAAAACAATTTTGTCCATTCGTCCCCGTTTATCTCTATGTTTTTTACAGAGCGTTTTTTTTTTTCTGGCAGAATGGAGATATTAAAAACAATGATGCACGTCATAAAAACTGCATCGCATCACTACATCATTGTCAATGTTGTGTGATACATCGCAAAAGATGTATAGTAAAATCCCACCACAAAATGTAAGATAACATAATCAATAGTGGTACGGAATTGGGCTAGAATTAGAGAAAACAGCGGTCAAGCAATCGATACACGTGTCCGTACACTCGTCACTTGGTAAGTCGTTATCTCCGTCCGTAGAAGCAGAATCAAACACTAATGCTTTCCCAGTAAAATACATGACACACATCAAAAAAGCAGCAAAACTTGTTTGACAAATGAGGGAGAAAATAAGGTCAAACAATGACCCGTTATTTTGTAACTCGACGTAGAACGTGCATCCAATTTGAACCAGCCAATTACCTTGTAATAAAAGCAAAACACATCGTAACCATGGTAGCTTTTCAATGATCTTATACGTAGATAAAGAAACATAAAAATCTTTCAGCATATCCATTAGTATTATTGCAGTACTTAATGCAATGATAATCACCAGAACATTATGCATTCGAACTTCTATCCTATCGTCAGTATAAAATAAATATATTCTGAATAAGTACATCTCATTCAAAAACGTTGCAAGAAGACACGACCTCGCGAACCAAGATACTACGTTCGAGTTGGAGCTGCCCTGGTACAAAGTTGAAAGTCCGTACAGCAATGACGTCAAAAATAAGCATTTTCTGCACCAGACGTCGTCATCCAGGGTTGCAGATTTCTTTTCTGACGTCTTATTTGCAACCACGGGTTGGTACGACGGGAACGAGAAACCTTTGACTGCCAAAAATAGCAACACAGCCAAGCAGAAACCGCCTTCTATTCGAGGCCATATAGACTGATAAAATCGGATAGAACGATCAATAGGCCTAGTCTCTTGTGCTTGTCTTAATCTCGCAACCAGGCTTTCGAACTTTTGACTCGTGTAGCTGATAATCCATAGCAATGCCAGAAAATCTAGAAGCATGCCCAGCATGACATAACTAGCAGTTTGATCGCCCATTTCAATCGGGTCGAGCACTCCTAACGAATGATTCTGTACAGCATGTACATTGTAAAATTAATTAAAGTTTAATACTGCTAGGCTGATATTTGCGGGTAGTCGATCTGAAAAGAAAATATAAAATAATAATAATAATAATCACACATGTATCATGGTATCAAATCTATAATACCACGTTCTACAGCAGCGGTCTTAGACCAATAAAATTTTAATTATTGCTTTACAGATTGAAAGTACAAGATCATATTAGGCTTACGTGTTTCATTGTCTATTTAGAAATCATACACATTGAACGTCGGTAGGCATAAACAAATTCAAAAGCAATATTGAAAACCGAAAAAAGTAAAATTAAAGCTTCTGCTAACATTAAAATTACAGATACGTTATTCAGTTTTACAGAAGCTGTGAGTGATAGCAAGTAAGTCATTTTAAAAGTTTTATTAAAAGTAAAGTAGGCCTACTTGTAACAAACACGGGGTGGTACCCAACATACTTTATTGAAAATTGATCAGGTTTGTGACTAATTGCCTATCAGGACTGCCAATTGGGGGATTGTTGTTGAAGGGGATGGGTTCAAGGGGTATGGGAATATACTACAATCTCCGGCGGGGTCAAGGGGAAAAGCCACTCGGCGCATTAGATCAGTTATATGCAATGCCCATGTACTGCCCTAACGATAGGTTGAGTTTAAGACGACCTTTTAGTTTTTATCACAGAAAATAACAATTTTGTATACAGTACACTCCCAATTTTAAAAGTGTAGACATTTTTCAATTTGTGGTTGGCAGAAGGGAGTGGTTGCACATGCACTCAACACACCCTCTGGATACGGGTCTTTATAATCTCAAAATGTCCGTCTATTTCTCATATAGGCCTATATTAACAAAAATATTAATAAATTCAAGGTTACGGCAATAATTAATACAATCGGCCGCGGTGACGTACGCGAAAGGGGAATTCTTACTCAGTAAAACCAATAAGAGGAAGGATGCCAGATGTCATCGGCCCCATGTTGTGAAATTCCATGAGATAACATCTCCTCTTTTTCAGGACTTAAAGTTACTCGTAGGGCCGTAGGCCTTACTACCGTGACTGATAGTAAAGTTCAGTTAAGATTATAAACTCCCAAACCTAAGCACCGTTCCACTTCACTGACCTCAGAATGAAATTTAATAAAATTTACATCATTTGGCCATATAGGGACAAGTATAGGCCTACATATCACACCACTATCCACAATAAACAAGCCATATAAAATCAAAGCCTATGCATGGAGAAAATATTTTCTCCATGGCCTATGTAAAATGCAAGCGCGATTACCACATTTCATGCCTACGACCAGTATGGCCTAGTCGAATAAAATATGTTCCATAAGATTTTTCTAAGACACAAAAGTAAATTTGACGAAAACCTTGTGAGTGGTTAATGAGAAACTGGGAGTTTTTAAGTGTTCAAAAATCTGTATCTCATTGACTGCTTCGAAATTTTACGTCAAATATGCTTTTTGTGCCTCTTGGAAAAATCAGTTGTTTGTAGGCCTACAACATAGCCTAGTACTCGGTGTCGCCTCGTGAGAATTCTCCAAATGAATGAATATTGAGGGGGAACGAGATGAGAAACACTTAGGCCTATGATTTTTGTATTCTTTTTCATGATGTAAGTTTAGCATGATGTGAGTGAGTGAAATGAAGAAAATAAGAAGGGCATAAAATAAATTAACATATCTTCAGTACTGCATATCTTATTCCGACTTTAGGCTTACCGTTTTTTTCACAAGAGTGGCCGGTTAATAATAATATGGGTTAATCATGGAGTTATAATTATTCATTACAACACCATGGGTTAATCAAATTGTTTACGATGCTTGATACAACAAATACTTGCAGTTTTCCAAAATTCTAAAGGCAGTGGTTAGGATACGGTAGGTCATTACAGAAAATTATGTTGAGTTCAATTTGGTTCAATCGTCATTTCATTCGTTTTGAGTACTCTTCAGAAACGAGACTTATGAACAGTACAGTACACGATGCATACATACCTCTCGTTGTCACGTGCCTCAGAGAGATGTTCGCACGCCAAGGTCAACGCGAACTCATCAAAGCCTTTTCTCACAGATGTCAACTGACAATCATGCTTCACTGATTCCTATCTTCCAAGGCGCGAGAGCAGGGCATACGCGTGGTCGAGAAGTCACTGGGAAATAATTGATTCCACGGGGAATTCCCGTAGGAGATCCAGACAAATCAGAACAAGTTGAATTTCAATATCATGTCGCACAATACATGTAGACAGTACAAAAGCCTAGGCCTATACTATGGCCTATGATACTATGTTTTCCAGCGTGCGATCGTCTACAGTACTTGTGCCATTCAGGAAGTACACTGGAAAGTAGCCAACAACTGATTTCTGTGAAACATCTTACTGTATACTGCTGCGTCTCAAAATGCACATAGCGCCCTCTGTAGATTGGTATCGAGAAGTCCGTAAACCTGGATATCCAGGTGTCTCCGTACCTTAAAAAGCCGGTTACTCACTGCCAGTGGGTATCTAGAAGTCTTGAATTGGGGGGGGGGGTGGCTCCATGATCAGTTGAGGGGCGTTAATTCGCAAAATATGGTAAATTTGTGTGATTTTTAACTACTTGACTTTTTTGGGGGGGGGGGGGGGGGCCGGGGATGTGGGCGCGAGTAATTTTTTTTTTTCGGGTTGGGGGGGGGGTATTCTATAAAATAACCTATGTATGATCTTATTTATTATATTGCATAGGCATAATAAATAATAGTAGAGTGGGGGTGGGGGACGTGAGAATTGACGTGATTCCCTCCCCCTGTCACCCACCATGACCATAGGAAGCGGTCCAGCTGGTCATTGAACGCAACATAGTTTTTCAAAAAGAAATTACTGTACAGTGCTGAGTATGGTCTGACTCAGCACATACAACATCAACAGGGGCGGATTTGGGGGGGGGGGCGGCCCGGCCCCGGCCCCGGCCCCTTTTGGGAGATAAAAAAAAGAGAAAAAAGAAAGAAAAAAATGAAAGCCCAGAATGCCTCCAATGTTATTTTCGGGCGTCTAGAGCACAAAAATTTCGTGGGGGCATGCCCCGGACCCCGTAGGACATTATTGTCTCGATCGGCTCAAATTTCGCCCCCCCCCCCCCCCCTGCTCAAATTTCGCCCCCCCCCCCACACTTTTAGACATCTCTGGATCCGCCCCTGATCAACGCACCTACACACGTAAAGAATGTTTTAAAAGTATGCCTAATATATGACATTGACTACCAAGCAAGTCAAAAAAAGAGAATTTTGTGGGATTTCTTCTTGTTGGCCGGATCAATAATGCGTCCTACGGCCTGCCGACTGACCGAGCATGGGCCAAGAGAGTTAAAGTTTTGTCCATAGTGACGTCATAACTGTCAAGACACCGTGACGTGTGTACGTGGAGCTAGGACGCTTAGTTTTGGTAGGTAAACTGATGATAGTGCACAGCACAGAAAAGAATAAATGGGGCGTTTATTTTATCGGTTAGGCTATTTATGGCGTTTTGACTTCAGATGGTAGGAGCCTTCTGTTTGAGCCTACCTTAAGGCCTAATGTCATTTATCATGCTAGGCCTTCTTATAATACATTACTAGCTAGGCTAGGCGTTACTGGTAGGCGACTCGGAAGACGTTGGCGCCGGTGGGTATTCTTTGGGAGCACACAGGTACAATGTAGGCCTAGGCCTAAGGCTACTAGCGGTACTTTCTTTTGATGAGGGCGGTAAGCGTATAAATGGTGCGTAATACGTAATAATAATGGTGCGTAATACGTAATAATAATGGTGTGCTAAAGCTGTTGCCCTATTGGTGATACTGGGTATGTTTATGGACCTACGCTACTACTACTACTACTACTACTACTAGTTTTAGAGCCCTCAATTTGAAATCCCCTCCCCAGATGAAATAAATAATGTAATATTATGGCCCATGGGCCTAGCTAGTCCTGGCCTATAATATATTAATAAAATATGTTTTTCATCTCAACATTTTACACCTTGTTCAGCTTTGCCTTTGGTAGGAGGCTAGGCACTGTAGTAGGGTGCAGGAGCAAGGTGATGTGCTTCCTTCTGTTACAGACATTAGGGCGCATAGAAAAAATGATTAGATTATCACTCTTTCTAAAAAAAAAGTAATAAGAGTGGGGATTTTTTTTTACTCGGAACAATAAAATACATTTTTTTATACATTGATGAGTGAAGGTCTTTTTTTATTTGGCAAGAATATTGTAAATATTGAATAAAAACTGTTTTAATTTTATTGTTTTTTTAAAGAAAATGTAATTTCAGTCATGAAAATGCATTGTTTTTTTAAGCTGTTGAAATAATGATGCGGCAAAAAAAAAATTTTTTTTGTTCCCGCATCAATATTTCCCAAATTTTGACGTGGGCGGGAGTGATAATCTAACAATTAAAAAGTAAAAACGCCAGCTAAACTTCTAGCATAGGATGCCACTATGTTTTACCACTACATGAATCAAAATTAATCCATTTCAAATCTTAAATTATCCTCATTAAAACAAAGTGAGCAGCTATACATTTTCCTCAGCTGCATTATAAAGTAAGTAAATTGTAGTACTACTTACAGTACGGTTCTATAAGTAACACAGATATAATCTTTCTAATGTTATTGTTATCTATATACCTGTTAATTTATGTGTCACTAAAGGGTCAAATATTTGACGATATATTTTTAGTGTTTTTCATTGCATTTTGTCATTTACTTACTTTGTTATTGTTAAATAATTGTAGCTCCAGGGTTAAATGTTAGGTAACTTATATTCTGCATTTTTCTCATCTATGAACAATTGACATTGCATATTGTATTAAACCTTTCTGTTATAGCGCCCTCCCTAGGTAGTAGAAAACAGTAGCTTCTTTTGAAAACTGATCAATACCCCACAGCCCTGAAAGGTTTGCGCCATGCCTAGCGCACAAAGACAATAGGGGTGCAAAGAAGGGAGGTCTAGCCCACTAGTGATGAGTCATTTTGTCCTCATTTGCATACACTCAATACCTGCATAATACAAGCATATAGATTGGGTGTTTGTATTTGTGTAGGCCTTCATGGTTTGTGTTCAACGTTGCATACCATAACTAAGCTTATTGTGTACTCACCATTATTTTACGAGTCCAGCCCATTTTGATGGTGTAGATTTTCTCTGACTGTACCGGCTGTGGACATTTTTTACTTGTTTTATGAACGGGCAGGCCCTTTAAAGGACATAAACACCTCACAAAGGTAGATATTATCTAATTACTACATTTATGTTTTACTTATATATTTTGAGAATGCTGTTACATAACCCTATTACCCACCTGTGACAGATCTAAATTACTCACTGTTTATACAGTATATAATCCTACCAACGCCTAAAAGGTAAGCCGTTTTTTATTGAACACTTCATTCATTAATATAATTCATGTGTTTTTCAGTTAATAACAATTATAATGTCTTGTAATCTTTCATAATTCATAATCTTGTGACATCATAGAGTTTATGGATTGGACTTTGTAATTATTAAATCATCCTTACTGTTAAACGATATACAGTACATTTAGTTGATTATTTCATAATTAATTTTCCAGGAACAGTTTTTAGATTGGATTTTCTGAAAGCACAGGCGTATCTTTTTCTATAAACCTTAACTTTATTAAAATAATAGTCTTCGGAGTAAGGGAAGAAAAAAGAATGTGAATTATGTGTTAATTTAGCAAAATAAGCAAACATTTTATTTTATTTTTTGTGTTGAAAGTGTTCAAACAAGGTTGAAGATGAAAACAATTGGGCACATTGCACATTGTTTTTTTCCTTTTTTTAATTTTTTAACCGCATAATTATCAACAATTCTCCTGGATCCTTTCACACAGAAAAGCATCAGATTACTGAAATATTGTTTTAAATCTAAGACCTAGATTTTGTGTCTGTTGTCATCTGGCCCAAAGTCATAAAAAAATACAAAACCACACATTTCCTAATAACCAAATAACATGTGGATACTTTATATGAAAACATAATAAGGCAGTATAGGGCATAGACACACACTCCTGCCATGGAGGAAAGAGCCTATTTTTATGTTGGTAATCATGTCATTGTAGCATTACTCTACATTACGGCAGTGTCTATCTGGCGACATCAGAGCCTCCTGGCGAGTGAACCAAGATCTTTTACATGGGGGTCCAAGATCTCTGACGTGGTCCAGACTTCTAAACCAGGCTGTGCAGAAAAAAATGATTTCTCTAATACACTATCCATTTTCAAATATTCCTTTTTATTTGCCTTCAGTATATAAGCAAAATTAGTTGTAGAAGTGTATCAAAATCCCCCACCCAGAGATTAGCCTAAAAAAGCTACCTAGATGCCTTGAAGTAACTCTAAGATAAAAGTGCATTTTTCAAAGAAGCATTCCCTGAACGAAAAGATTTTCCTGTTTCACGGCCTGGTGTGGCTTTCGGACAGCGATATTTTTTCCTCTGGACCCCCGCACACACCGCCACTGTTGGAAAGGGCCGCAGTATATTGCTTCTGACCATAATTATTAAAAAGTTCATGGTATATTGGTGTGACAGACTGTCAATGAAATGCTATTATGCCTGACTTTACACCATATGTTTTTTTTTTTTTTTAGAATAGGCCTAAAGTACCATACAATTTATGTATAAATTTACAAAAAATATTTTCAAGAGGTAAATGATTAAAAAATAGATTAAATTGTGATAAGAAGGTTAATAACTGAGGTTCGCAGGTTACAATACAAATTTTTGGTGTCGGATTAAGTGCAAGTGCACTCAACCGTAACGTAGAGTCAGAATTCACACAATTCTCGCATTGCAGTTGGAAAAGTTGGTGCAGTGTACCAGTAGTTGACAAACATTACAATGCATAGAATTTATTACATGACTGACAAAGAAGTTCACATTTTTGTGTCTGTGTGACCATAGAGTATTTTCTCTATGGTGTGACAAAGCATGAAACTTGCATTATCAACTTACATTGGCTGACCTGTTCCCATGTTGATAGAATCAATGAAAGTAACATAGAAAATTTGTAGATTTTGAAGATATATTTCTATTTTGTAGTACTATAGTTACTATCCGTAACATTAAATGATTACGTAACGTGTCATTATTGTACAGTGCTTCAACTTTAAGGTTTCTAACTCCTCGGCTACAGTACCACTGTGTAGTTAGTTTTAATTTAAAGGCCTCAAACATAAAGTATGATATAAATTATGTAAATGAAGGATATAAATTAATAGATTTGTGTACTGAGATATTAAAGTTCATGTTAATTTTGAATTATAAGAAATATGCTGATTTCTGCTATGCTGTAAGTAAAGTATGTTCCTATATTAGATGGAATTGATGTAGATGATTACGGTAAGTAATCATCGGATCATGAATCTCCAATTTCAATGTTGTTAAAATATCCAATTATAGGATCTAATTGTATGCTGATCAATTTATTAACCTCATTAACTATAATTAACAAAATTTATTTATATATTTCTATAGCTTTTTGGAAATTATGTAATCCATCTTAAAAATTTAAATGTTAAATTGTAGTTATTCATAGATTGTTATTTCAAAGTTTATTTAACCTAAATGCCAATATACATTAATTATAACATTTTCATTTCCTCTTTATTAGATTTCAATTGTAACTAGAGAGCGACAAATATCCTGTGTGGCAAATACTACAGGCAGTAACAATCGGAAATCTATTTAACACATCAGAAGACACATTAGCTGAACAAATTGAGGAGATTGTGAGGAAGGCCCGAGTCTCAACAACTTAACCATTTTGCCTTGCTACTGAGAGGACGCCATTTTTTATAATCAATGCGCCTTAATAAACGATAACCATGGTTGTTCTCACAAGAGTAAGTATTACTCATTCATTAGTTCATTACAAGTAGTTCATCATTTCATTTATGTTAATAGAGCTCAACAGGTAGGCATACTTTTGTAGGAGCGGTGTGGCATAGTAGTTGCGGTGCAGCTTTTCAAACCTGAGGCTGGGGTTCATATCCATGCTGGGCTTTTCACTTGTGTTCTTGGAAGCACAATTTACAGCATCTCTCTACCCTGGAGTACAAATGTGTACCGCACCTGGGAGGGTTGAAAACTAATGCACAGAATATTAGCTCTAACATTATGGAACTCTCCCCAAAGAATCTACCTAACCTGAGTATGTGTTTGATCCATTTAACAGGGGTTTTAAATATGAAGCCCGTTAGGGACCTTATTGGCATGAATCGCTATACAAACTTAGTCTGAGCCCTGAATATAGTAAGAAACGAATGACTATCTTAAATATGTGTTCTCCAATTTTTACTGTCATTCAGTATTTATGTTATGAATTTTAACAAACATATTAGCATCTTACTGTATTCTATACTGGTGTTTGTTGTTAATGTTGTATAATAATGTAAAAATACAACAGTATGAAAAATAATATGGACATGAAAGTTCAAATTGTATTGTTGATTACGCCAACATTTTAGATAAGAAATATTTGTTATAGGTTCTGTGAAGTGTTTGCATGGCCGAATTGAACGGCAATTTGCACTTGTACAGGATTCAGAAAGATGATAAAGTGCTTTCAAAACTAGTATGGGACTACCCCTTTGGCAAACAAAAGAGTCATATCTGAGTGATTCATAAAGGAACTATTAAATGGGGAAATAAATAATAAAACAGGAGATATTCAGAAGAAACTGCTACAATACAATATCATTGAGTATACTACAGTATTCAATTACCTCATCTTTTTAATAGAGGATTATATTTTATTTCCTTCACTGGACACTCATTGCATCGTACGATGGTCATACGATCGTCAACGAATTCCACTCCGCTACCTGTGAGCGCTAAACTGCGCGAAGGCATCTGCTGATGGTCAGTGGCAGGTTGAACGGATTGTTATTAAAAACGATCTGTTGTGCGCGTGTCGTCGTGTTATGTTCTTCATAGAATCACGATGACCGCCGGGCGAAGTGAGTGGCTTGGCCTTATTCATGTAAAGTATATAACGACAGTGTATCAATACAGTAAAGTATGCTAAATGTTGGTGGTTAAAGATGCTTGTTCAAATCCTGTCACTATCAGAGTTCCGTAAAACTCTGTCAAGATTATGGAATTTTATTGGCCAAAAACATATGACATGCCTAAATATGGAATCACATCATGACCATATATAGTCACATCATGACTAAATATGGGCATACTTTTGTCAAAGAAAAAAAATTGATAGTCTGGACAGAGCTTAAGGTGGTAGCCACCGTATGTGCGCTGAACCGTGGAGATCTCTAGGTCCCCGGTTCAATTACCATTGCTGGCTCTCCTTGTGTTTCATCTGGAGGGCTGAAATACTTAAATACAAGTTACAATAGCGCACCATCTTTCGGATGAGACGTTTAAGCCGTTGGTCCCGTATGCATTTATGGCCCATGTGCATGATAAAGAACGAAGTACACTCTTCAGAAAAGAGTAGAGGATTGTCTCCCGGTGTACTGCCCAATCACCACCAGAATGACCCCACTGGAAATAAGTCTTCTTCTAGACTTTCGTGGGCTATCCTTGGTGTTTACACTGAATAAATCCAATCCAATAATTTATAGTGCGCGAATCGAAAGCGTTGGTTCATGCACACGTGCATTCACATTTCTATCTACCAAACCTTCTGTTAGACAAACTCTCTGTTCACGAGTTTTCGCTTTCTGAGCTCTGATTGCTGATGATGACATAATCAATGTTGAAATATTTAACCCGACACAATGGCGTGCATTTCGATACTTGGAGTATACTATCTTATTTCAGCTCTGATTGGTTGCGCATTTTTTTACTTCACAAAAACAGAAACAGAACTACTGATTTCGCTGAAGCGAAAAACTCTGATAGAAATGTGAATGCACATGCACCAATGCTTTTGATCTGCACGAATAAATTTGTGGAAAACAGGCTTTATACTATTGGAAGTGAAATAAATAAAAATAAATGCACAGTAGGCCTAATCTACAGTATTTTTAATCAGTACCAGTATCATTACCTTACTGTAGGTTGAACCCAAGAACCCAAGGTTACTGCAATGGCTCTAGCAATTGAGCCAACATTGTTGGTTAAGTAAACAGAGTATCATGTGGCTAGGAATTAGACCATGGGATAGCTAAATATAATAGTCGTTAACAACAGGCTCATTTACTGCGTATAATAGTTTGATAATATGATAACGTGAATTGTAAATGTATAAATTATACTGGATAGATGCCAGGTCTCAGATATCTAATTTGCTTTTTTTGTAGCCATTTTTAGATTAAAGCACAGAAACATTGAGATTATTATATTTCTACATTAATAATACACGTTTTTTTTATGTTTCCGTCTCTTGTGCCTTGAGAACTTTCTAAGTGGATATTTGCGCTATATAATAAGTTGTATTTATCCTTAATATTATAATTAATATTATTAAGTCAACTCCCAATGTTAGGCCAAAAAAAAATATTGTGTTGGCCACGCCCAACCGACCCAAATTTTAGGAAATTAAGGGTTGGCATTTTAGTTTTTTTTTTTTGACAAGGAATAATACTTTTTTATGAGCAAATACCTAGAATAGCCTTGGCGAGGTTAGGGGGCCAGGGTTAGCCTACTGTATTTTGCTAGATGGTATGGGATGCGAATCCAAAATTGTTGTATTATTTGTGTATTTCTACTTTTTGGGCGTAAACAAATATTTGGTTGTAAGTAAAAAAAAGTGTTTTCCCACCGACCTACCCATTTTTTGGATTTTCTCAAAACGTGGCCAACGCAAAAATATTTTTTTTGGCCTTATTTGCCTGTAATCAACACTGCATTATTTTTTCAAAAGTGCACCGTTGGTTTGATCTTTTTTAGGTTTGTGTCAAAAAGACAAATTCAACTTGTTTTTTTTTGTGCACACGATGAATTCTAGCCTAGTGTTTTTGCACCCGGCACTACGATGCACGCCTTCGGAAAGAAAAGAAAAGACATCCACCCAGTCATCATTTTGTTGACATGTGGTAATTGAAAAAATGACATTTGTATAAACACCTGAAGAAAGTCACTTCAAATTCAATATTATGTATAAAAATTTAAGGAATTCCTTAAATAAATGAACCCTAATAAACTAACGAAACTGAACATTTAATAGGAATATTTGAGACCTATCTAAAGCTGTTTCAAAGATACATTATGGAACAGAATTAGTTGTATGCTAGGCCTGATGATGACATAATTAATGTTGAAATATTGAATCCCAACACGATGGCGTGCATTTTAATACTTGGAGTATGCATTATACTTATACTTATCTGAGATTAATCGGTGGACCTTTTGGCTAAATAATAATATTTATTAAAATAATATACTGTATTTTAAGTAGAAAGATACAAGTACAGTAAACTATAATTATATAGAAATAATAGAATCACCCAACACTTAGTATTTGCTAGAAATGAAACAAATTGTGACTAATTGAAGAAGCAAATAAGTATCATTATTTATGATAGTGAAACATTGCTTTGGTCTCTAGGTAAAAAGCAAGCTAATTGTCAGATCTAACTACAGTACAGTAGGCCTATGTTCCTTGTGATATATTTCTAAAAATATACTAATATAAATCTCATCATAAATGCATTGATAAGCTGCAAAATGATCTTAAAATAATTCTGTACATTTAGTCCATTCAGTATCTGTTAAACTTTTCAGTACCTGTTAAACTTTACGTTATTGATTTATGCAGAATAAATATTATTATAGCTATTAATGATAAGCGTGGATACACTGTTACAAAGAAAATAGATTTTGAATTAATTTGCCTGATACACTGTAGTATTTATCAGTGGATTGTGGAATGTACCATTCAGTAATGTAGAAATTTCTTTTTAAAGAAATACTAATCTGTGGCGAAGACAAACCAAACCATTCCTCGCAAATTGTGTTTCCGAGGTAATGGCCAAAGCATGTTGGGATGTCAGAATTTTAAAAATCTATTTCATGGCTCTAAACTGAACTTTATAATAGTATCATGCTATTGTATGTTGTTATTTTCCCCATTTTCTACAATTTGGTGATAGTCTCTGCCAGCAAATATCTGAAATCCTAACTTTGAAGGCTGTTATTAAAAACAGCTGTATGTTTAAACTCCTGTAACTTCATAAATGAAATGTCGGATTTAAGTAATTCTTGTAATATTTTATAACTTTCATTTTACTTTTTAACCCTGTATTGATAACTAAAAATCATTTTTTTGCGAGGAGCGACTGGTTTGGATTCTCTTAGCCACATTTGTTGTATCAAGTTTGTCATTCAGTAGTTGCTATGGGAATACCTACAGTAATATATTGGCTACATTTGTTTTGTATTCTGTAAGTGCTGTAGAAACTACATTTACAAATGATGAAATAAAAACATAGCCATGATATACATTATTTATGGCTTTCGTGTTTTCATATGGCACTAAAGACCTCGACAAGAGTGCGTCATCAAAATTAAAACACCTTTTACAAAATTACAGCTATACTGTAGTCGGCCTAATTTTAAATTAAATTAGCTGTAATTGTGTTAAATCAGTTTGCAGCTTGTGTGTATAAGTATTTACTCTAAATTACATGCAACTCCAGAATTTAACAGATTGGATCATATTTGTTTTTCAAATCTTGAATTCGGGACTAGTTCAGAAGAGATGAACATGACGTAACGTCAGTTGACACTCTCTTTGTTATAACTCAATCTACGCCATAATAACATAACAGCTGAACATTCATTTCCCTCACTGACCTCTACTTGGTCCAAGGTGTACAAATGCTTGGCTGTTACGGCAGTTATCAGATATTTCATAATTATTAATGCCCATCTGATAATGCCAACACACCTTGTGGTGCTTACTGAAGGGAGTAGTCCCTGCAGTGCAGTCATTCACGACTAATCAGAGGCTATTGGAATGCGTCACAAGTTTCTTTCATATTCCACTTAACCCACAGAAACAGGAAGCCAACTTTTTTCAATGTAATTTACTCATTCTTAATTGTAAAGTACCAATTGTGACGCAAATGTCATCGCAATAGAATTATAGCTAAAAGGAATGTAGACTTGCTAAAAAATTATGACTTTGTACTATGTGTACCAGTCTGACTTAGTGTGGTTATTGTCTGTATAAGTATTGATTTTTCCACTGTAGAGTACAGTATAGTCTTACTCATTCATGAATTTTTCTATATCATTGAATGAATGATAATGAGAGATTTTTGACCAAGTGCTGCCCAAGTATACAGTACTTTTTTGGACTACTGTGTAGTTTTCACACAGTAGGTAAATTCAGTAGATTTAAAATTACAGTAAATAGCGTAGATACTATATGGCAGCATTGATCCATATAATAAAAATAATATTTAATAATAATAATATTTAATAATAATAATAATAGTAATAATAATATTAATAATAATAACAATAAATAATTAATAATTATTAATATTAATGGTTTACTTCTGGAGCACATAATGTAGAGACTGCTCTGCGTTTAACATTATTATCCCCGGTCAGTGGATCAATCACTTATGGAACACATACTCAGATTTCTTGGGAGAATTCCATAATGTTGCAGCTTTAATGAGCGCATTTTTGTGTTTGAACCTACTACCCAGGTAACCACTTGTTGTGCGACAGCCGTAGGTATAATGGTGCCTTACGTATGAACAAAAGCGTAATGCACAGTGATTGATTGAAACTCAGACTTGAAAAACAGAACTGCAACCGCTTCACCAAACCGCTCCTACATATAGACAACAATTAAGCATTACATCAGCAATTCTAATCAGTTGCTTGTAGCAGGTCATAACGTGACTAAGATAGTACATTGACAAATAGCATGTATGCACTTAGACAAAAGAGGGCATGAACTAAGATATAGTACATTGACAGTATACAGTACACTAGACAAAAGAGAACATTACGAAGTAACATTTGTATACAATGGTAAAATATGATATTATGTTGGACGTCGGCCACGTTAGATTTTTTCCTTTGTCTATTTATTCCATTTATATATTTCTTTTCATATTTTAATTTTGGATTGAAATTATTCCAATAAACTTCACCTTTACTTCATACTTGCATGTACAAATAATATAAATATTGATATATATATTTTTTTTAAATTTATTTATAGGGAGATTATGTGTGGTTGGAAGACCCACGTAAAGAAAATAAAAAGTCCAACGATGTTCCCATCGGTGCTCGCGTCAAGATTGCTGATTCCGGTCAGCTCCAGCTCCAGGATGATGAGGGCAAGGTAAGAGAATATTTACACATTAATAATCAGAACCCATGATAAAAGAACCTTACTCACTCTTATTGGATTGCCCTGTTGTAAAATATCACCCTCCACTGCTGAATGGGTAGCTACTGATTAATTAGTGTTCACTGCAGACTATCACATTCACCATTCACATCCTGATACCCATTTTTACCGTACTTGTATACTGTGTAAAGCACTGCAATGTCTTTATTTCATGGTACCATGCATGCGGGCATATCCAACCCATGAAGAAGGAGGGGCATGAATGTGTAAGCAGAGTAAGAGTCTGGGGTAGAGCCCCCTAGTGGGTGTGCAAGGGCCTTAAACCTCTAGCACCTTTGTTAATAATTTGGGCTTGATTGATTTTTTACTCTTTAGCATGGTAATTTTCTGAAAAGTTTTAGAACAAATGTATTTTTACCAAAAAATAGGGCCGTGCATCCCTTATTCCCCCCACCCCCACTCTAAATCTGCCACTGCCATGTGACACTCCCTTGTTACTGAGCAACTACGATAAGAGACCCATTTTTAAATCTCAATCGATGTGATTTTTTCACACTCCCTCAGATCCCATGTACGTACAATGTATATTACAAGTTAGTTTATTTTGTAACACAGGTTCCCTTTATCACTTTTGGCTTAGAATTGTCTTAGTTCTGTAGGCATGCATAAGAGTGTTTGGTTTCTTGGGACAATTGCTTGATGTTGTTTACCAAGCAATTTCATTTGAAATTTCATGCGTAGGTTGCTACCACACCTACTGCCAATTACACCAGTATTACTTATACGTTTATCGTTTGCTAAGTTTGAACACTCTTTGCAGTTAATTAAAGAATGTACAATTGACATCGGTAATACTGTACTCTATATTATCCATTGGTTCCGGCACTGGTAGTGGTACGTCAAGTCAATGTCTGCCAAATGTCTTGGAAATGACGGCTATTGTATCAGTACCAGTATTACTATACAAAAGCCAAACATGATTGCTATACACATTCTTTGTAAATTATTTGCTTTATGCGCATTTTTTATATATTTGGTACTCAATGCATTGAGATGTTGTTTGCAATTATTGTTTTCGTTAAATATTAAAATTATATTGGTAAACCAAAATATTTATTCAAAATATATCAAATACTATAATAGATATTGTTATGAATTGTTACACAATCAAAATTTCATAATTAAATAAATTATTTAAATTTTGTCTAGAAGAAATTTCTAAAAAAACACTTGAACATAAAATAATTATGACAACTCTGAATATATTTATATTCTTGAAAAATATTTTTTCATCATTAAATGCAATAATTTAGTGTATGTACTTAGTAACAAGGGGAACATATCCTATAAGTAAATGACAGTAAATTCTGCTAAGTTTGATTCAATGTAAAAACTCGGAAAATGTTCATCATAGGCCAACAGTAAATTCTGATGAGTTTAGTGATCATAAAACAACCATCGTAATATGATCATCAGTTTATTAAAATGTAAAATATACTTTTGTAAAACTCTTTTCAGGATCATTGGATGTCGTCTGAGGTTGCACAGAAGCTTCGGACAATGCACATTACATCCGTAGAAGGCGTCGAGGACATGATACGCTTGGGTGACCTCCACGAAGCCGGTATCTTGCGTAATCTGTTAATCAGATATCAAAATAACTTGATATATGTAAGTATAAGTTCAGAGGAGTCTTAAATGTGAGGTTCAATTGTGAGATTAAATGTGAGACCATAAGCTAATGTGAGAATTAATATGAGGCTTTGCCATTCCAAAACTACAGTAGCATCAGTGTCCAAAAAATGAAAATTGACTTTTTATTTTTTTATTCTCCATATTGTAAGATTTAAAATGATGGGTCATATACTGGAATTGACTTACTGTACTATTGCCAAAATTATTAGTAAAAGTATTATGGCTTCTGTATTATAAAGTATACAATACTTCCATATTCTTATAATAATTACGCAGTTTAACAATTAGTAACAGTATGCTGGTTTAGAAAGGCAAGCCTCATATGAGAAGAATGGATGCATGACTATTAAGACAGAATTGACATGAAAAAATAATTATATGAAAATGTCATGAATTATAATCAAATTTATGAGAAGTAAACATCAGTGGACTATCTGGGAACCTTGAAATGGTGGGATGATCAGAGGACGCGAAGGTGAAATGCGAGGGCATGTAATTGGGTGGTACCATGGCCTAAGCATGTGCCACGGTCATGTCAACAGGCTGTGCTGGTACAAAGAGTTTGGTTCGTGGGGAGCGCAAAAACTAGATAGCAAATCTCAATATCTGTTTTTACGAGTACGTAAACAGGAATGAGAAATTTTCTCGTTGAATCGATCTTGGAACGAAATAGCAAAAGCTTGCTAATATATCATCAGTGCATACTGTTTAATGACTGATTTTCTTTGAACAAAAGCAGGTGTTTTTCTGTTCTATTCTGAATGTTGCATTTCATCCGTTTACCCTCCTACATCTACTCAGTACCTTGATTGGGTTTACCTTGAGTTTTTCTTAAAGCCAAACATCTATCTTGTGTGTGGGGTTAGAGTTGACATTTTTATTTGAAAAAATACCAATGTTACTTCAGCATTTCTTGAAGCAAGGAGTGTAGGTGTGTTAATGGCACTTTCAGGAACTTTATCGCAGCTGTCCAAAGCTCGCTGACTATACAATGTTTCCTAATTCAGTGATAATGGTGTGAGCAAGATCACCTTGTAAAAATTTGGTGTTTTAATAAACAGATAAAATTATTCACACGAACACACACACAATACACCTGCTTCAGGTAAACCCTGGGCATAGACTAGGGACCACCTCATGGACATCGCTGCTTCTGCCAGATTAAGGGATCATCTTTATCTGACGTGATGATCTATTCTTATTGATCTAATCATAGGTTATATACTGGTAGAGAATTAAATAACAATCAACTAATGTATCAATCTTTTGTAGCTTATGTTTTTTATGCCAAGAGCTCTAGGCGCTTTATGCTATATTCCGAGAGATTCGGCACAAGTTCTCTACAGTAGAATATAAAATTTTCAAGCCTAAAGGGACTGTTCCATATTTTCAGCAGGGAGTTGTTATAGTGACTCCCTGGTTTCAGCTATAGTGTGGAATGGGTTGGCAGAAATTCATGATTTGGGTTTTCAATGTTATGATGGAGGTTGGTGGTTTGTACCATGAATTTTGCTTAGTTATACTCAAAGACCTTATAAACACAAGATAGAATTCTCCGCGATTTATGCGTGCAAATTCTGTAATATTATTATATTATTATTATTATCTGACCATAGCGTACGCCGTGCAACTTTATGTTTACGCGTAACAATTAGAAGCATCTGATTTACAATGCGCCCTCTCTTTTGAACATAAAGAACAAATTAACGTACATGGTAATTTGGTAACTATCTCAGATCCATGGCAGCGACTAGGATGCCCTCTCCCAAAACTGATTACTTTTCTGTGCCAAATCGACGCTTCTATTTGTTACACGTAAATCGTTGAGAATGCTATCTTGTGTTTATAAGATCTTTGGTTATTCTTTACCAATGGTTGTTGCTCTCCACCTGGCAGTAAAATCGAAGGAGGTATAAAAGATCATCCTTGGTATAACTGGGTAGTGTGCTATGATTACTAGCTGCAAGACATGTATGTGTTTGATCCTATGATGACCATGGCAATAATGTGAAGTACATAATATACAGTACATACTACTGAGATCCTACACAAATAAAATTAACATAAATTTTATGGTTACCCCATTATTTGCAAAATGACTTTCACTATTTTATTATATTTCAATAGACACGGATCATAGTCCATTCGACAATATGTTATCTCAGTTGCCATGGTAATATTCATAACAATGTACAGTACTTCATTCCACTCTGCTATAGTTATTAAGGAGAATAATCAAATAAAATTCTGAGAAACTGAAATTAATGCAGCATATGTACAGTGCATGCTTTTTTTGCTTAAACAGTTCTTAGGCCATCTATAAGTTAATTACCACCACAAAGGAGGCTATGCATTCACCACTGTCTGCCTGTCTGTTGGCAAGATATCTCAAAATCTAGGAACGCATCATAGAATTTAGTGGAATGGTACATGATGATCTAAGAAAGAAGTTGGTTTAATTTTTGGGAAGAAAAGATCAAAGAACATAGTAAAATGTCACTGAAATTGTTTTTTTTACCCTTGAAAATAATGGAATCACCCATAACTGCGTATTGTTCGGTATTCAGGCACAGGGCGGAGGTATGCACTCTATTAAGTGGCTGCTCTAGTTGGTGATGTTATTGTAGAACCTAGCTATTTTGTGTTTTGTAGTGTTTTATGTAGCCAATGCAGCTGATACAGTAGCCCTAACCAATACCATCATCATTGTATGTGGGTGTAATCTTTTATTTAGATCAAAGATTTCTTATTTTACCAGTGTGTTTTATTTATTTTTATTTCAAGAATTTTCTACTAAGGGAAGCTGATATTCAGGTGCCCTCTTTAGCAGTGGCGGCGCCAGCGGGGTGGCTGCAGGGGCTAAAGTCCCCCGACTGCACATGTCAAGTCCCCCCCCCCCCATCGGATAGAGCTTGTCAGGCATTCAGACTAAAAAAAATATATAAATATTCTCACGCCAAGCCGACACATGTTTGTCACAGTCTGACAGTATCATTTCTGGCTATGCAGAGGTTCCTATTCTTAAAAAAATTCTCATTTTGGGAGGGGGAACACCCTCTCAAACCCTTCCCTCAGATCAGGCCTACAAGCTCAAGTCCCCCTGTTGGACATCTCAGCCCTCCCAGAAAATATACCCTATAGCCGCCACTGCTCTTTAGTAAAAAATAAAATCATACATTCATTCAAAATATGAGTAGAGTATACTGTATATAAACTATGAAAAGCCTAATATATATCTTGAATAAATATAGAAAAGACAAGAATAAAAAGTGGGGATAATAATTCCAATATTAATTGTAGGTTAATAATGACAGAAATCTTGAATTATATTGAACAACATCTAAATTAAGATACTGTACTATATAGGAGCTTTTAGTAAAATATAATGTATACAGCTATTTATAGGCACTGTAGCTTCTTTCATTGAAAAACATAATTTATTAGCATACAGGCTGGCAGCTGTTTGCTTTGTTCGCACCTTCCGTCAGTCGGTAAGCCTTGGAGTATTTATAGTCTTTATCTGGACAATACCTGACAGTCTGGATAGATGATACTAATTAAGAAATTGTCAATCTTAAAGGAGAAATTTATAAGAATTATGCAAATATAAACTGAACAGAAACTCATGATTCAGAAGAATATTTGTAATATATATTATTCTAATTGTATTTTATTTGTGTTGAAAAAACATTAGTATTAAAATTAATAAATGTATGCCTGAAAGCCTATTGGTTTTACACAATGTATTGTAACTATGAATTTCAATACCCTTTGCACATTGTGACTATTTTGCTAATTGTTACCACTGTAGAACAGGTTGTGTGCCGTGTGAAAGCAGGTCTATGTAAATACACTCAGTCTGAAAGGAAAACAAGCCTTGTCGAGGCATGTGAAGACTGTTTTTGTACTGCTACTAGGCAGTGGAGAACAAATTATAATGTCGTGCGCTAGGTCTACTTTATATCTAGGCCTACTGGTATTCTTTCAAGATTTAACATGACCCTCATTGTGTGTGTGTGTGAAACGAGAACTATTTGTTAAAGGTTTAAATATTCTGTTAGTGTGAAAAACAGTAAATGTTTAATGAAAGCTAGGAAAATTATTGATAATTCTTTATTTTCTCATATGAATAGACATTCACCGGATCAATTCTAGTTGCTGTGAACCCCTACCAGATCCTTCCTATCTACACAGGCCAACAAATCACAGAGTACAAGGACAAGAAGATCGGCGAGAAACCACCGCACATCTTCGCCATTGCCGATAATGCTTACTGTCGTATGTTGCGAGAGTTGCATAACCAGTGTGTTATCATCAGGTGTGTACACACGATTACATTCTCTTACACTAGGTTGACTCAGGGAATTTTAAGTTGAAATATGTTTATATAGTGCATGTTAGCGTAATCTCTTGTGTACTATTTTTATATCCTGGGTTGGATGCAGGAAAGTTCTTGGCTCAACGGAAAGTTTTTCATACCAGCTAGCTAAAAGACCTTTCAGCTAAACTTTTGCCCTTGGATGATTTTGCTTATTCATGACCTTGTTTTGATTGGTCAGTTGTTTAGACATTCTGCAAAGGTTCATTCAGTACTGAAGCAATTTCTTTCCATATTATTTGCATCATACCACCACGGTACCGAATTTGTATTTCTGATTGGAGAGGAATAAATGAAGATTAAAAGTTTCGCCCAAGTACACAAAAAAAGGGACAAGACTCAAAATTGCACTACAGTATCATTAAATAATGTTTAATTCATGTGCTATACGTACCACCTCTCTGCTAGCATGTGGTAAAATAATTTCAAGCTAACTTCCATTTGTACCTACTCACGCCTTTCAGTGTGGTCGGTCTATGCACTATCCAACATGTTCGCAAGATATATGCAAAATACCTTACGCATTTTGCGCTACAATAGATTAGCCTCTTAACAGCCAAGTCCATGACGTACTCTTTGCTCACTAAGTTGCCAAATTCAAGGGAATATAAATTCATAAATGGGAATGTATTTGACCCCTTTATTTAGGATTATGTATTTTATTGATGTATGCTTATTTTATTTTGTGTACCTTATTGAACCTGCATACTTGAATGTGATTTTAATTGATATGTTGTCAATTTATTTTGTTTATTTATGTGATATTTTTTTCTTTATTTGGTAGTGGTGAGAGCGGAGCTGGTAAAACAGAGAGCACCAAACTCATCCTACAATTTCTTGCAGCTGTTAGTGGACAGCACTCATGGATTGAGCAACAGATCCTTGAGTCAAACCCCATCCTAGAAGGTGAGTATTTAAATACAGTGTATAAACCTTTTTTATACCTTGTTTCGCGAAACTTATTTTTTTATAGATTGTCAGAGGAAGGCGGAAAAAAAAAATTAGTTTTTTTTTTATTTAGCAAATGGTTTTGCCAAAAACATCCAGATGGAGGAGAAAATAAAAATACAATTTTACTGGTGAACATAAACAGTGCAGTAATGGGACGGAAATATGCTTTAAATTTATACAATTAGGAAGAAAAATACATTATCTTATTTTTGAAGATTTCAAGGCAGCGGCAAGCGTAATAAAAATAAAGAAAAAGTGTTTTTGTTTTCTAAAATTTTGTGGCGGCGGGTGTGCTAACTGGCCAAAAATGAAATTTTTATTTTTATTTGAAATCATCATTAATGGGTGGTGGCAGGTTCGCTGAACAAGGTATACAGACAATCTTGTAATAGACATGTTTGTGTGAGCCTGTAATAACAAATTATGCTATACTGTATATTGAAACATAACCCCATGCTGTTTTTCCTCCATGTTATTATATGTTAACAATACATGGCATTGTCAACTCAGGACCAATTGTAATGATAATTCACACTAATCAAAATACATGAATATAGCATATTCAATTTACTTAATGCATAAAGACCATGTATTCTGCACTGCAACTCCCTAACTATTAAAAAATAACTCAATCCAAAATCTAGGATAATAATGTTAGGCCCTAATGGTAACATCGATGATAATAATAACCTGTATATAGTTAACACCTTCATAATGATATAATTTGATATAAACATTTGTTGATATTATTTTTTCTCACATACCCATCTACTACTAATTAGCATTTGGAAATGCCAAGACCATCAGAAATGACAATTCAAGTCGATTCGGAAAGTATATCGACATACACTTCAACCAGCAAGGTGCCATAGAGGGCGCTCAAATTGAGCAGTACCTTTTAGAAAAGTCGCGAATCATTGGGCAACTTGATGAGGAGCGCAATTACCACATATTCTACTGTATGCTCGCTGGTATGACCTCACAAGAGAAATCACAGCTTGGCCTAACAAAGGCGGAAGATTACTATTACCTTACGCAGGTAGGAGTTTGTTATCTTAGCATCATCTGTCACATTTTTGTATTTACACATTTGATAAGAGCAGCTCTAAATCCACGGACACTTTTCTCAAACCTAATCTTTTGATTTGCGTGATGACGTGATTCACTCATGCATGACCGTACTACTTTCTCTGCACAATGTAGATTTGGCCAAATTGTTCCATAGAATGCTTGCGATAACATAATTTAATGTTTTCGTATGTGCAGAGAACTTCTTATTGACGCCATTACTTTGTACCTTCGTTGTGCATTCAAAAGCTCCCTAATGGGTGGGTGGTATAGGGAAGGTGTATGTGTATTGGGGAGGGGGGAGGAATATTAAAATGAAACTACTGCTACCAAAATGAAATGTGAAATGTGGAAGCCCAATTCTAACCAAAGATCACTTGTGCTTTGATTATATGTTTTTAGGGGGCTGTGAATTTTTAATTTATTTTTAATTCTATTTCTAAATTAACCTATGACCTTGTTATAATACTATATATGATTTAAGTTTGGTCCATGCTTAGACCTGAAATTAATTGTTGATAATCATTTGTAGGGTAATTGTCTGACTTGCGAGGGACGTGATGACATCAAGGATTTCGCAGACATTCGGTCTGCTATGAAAGTTCTTAACTTCAGTGATGGTGACATTTGGGAGCTGTTGAAACTTCTAGCAGCCATTCTGGAATTTGGAAATATTGAATACGATGCCATTGAAACATCCAACTTAGATGCCGTTGGATTCAGAAGTCACAAACAAACTGATGCAGTTTCACAGATTCTTCAGGTTAGTGCTTATTGGTGGTTTACCTGCAATCCTGATAGAAAAACTAGAGTCATGAATGTAAAGAATTAACATAATAACAATCATTAAACCGGCACACTTTCATCTCTCCACGACAGGGGCCGAGTGGACCAGTATACAGGGGTAGCCCTCTTCTTTTCTTGAAAGATGACATAATTAATGTCGAAATATAGAATCCCAACATGATGGCGTATATTTCAATTAATCACTGGACCTTTCAGTTTTTGGTTGGTAATAAATTTAGGGATTTTTGTAGTAAAATGTTGGTAAATCTGCAAAAAACTGATTTTTTTTTTTACCTTTTTTTATTCCGGATGGCATGCACAATTCAAAGGCACTGGTTTTCATTGTGGTCCAGCTAAAATCTACGTGATACATTTAAAATGAAAAATATATGGTAAATTGAATAAAAAGGAATTAGAATGGTTTGATGCATTTAAATGAGCTTATTCAAGTTTTACTTGAATTTTGAAGGTTTTTCTGATATTTTTTATAATTGACTCTGGACTGAATGTATTAACATCAATTGACCTTGGAATAATTTCTATACAGGTGAATCTTGAAGCTTTGGAGAATGCTTTATCAACAAAGAAAACCATCGCTGCGGGCGAAGTCGTTGTATCACCGGTTAACAAAGCCAAAGCCATTGACATGCGAGATGCCTTCGTCAAGGCCATATATGGCCGCATGTTTATCTGGGTCGTTGATAAAGTAAATGATGCAACATTTCGGGCCAAATCTAATGTAAAGGATGTTAGGGTCAGCATTGGTGTTCTGGATATTTTTGGATTCGAGAATTTTGGTAAAAACAGGTAAGGAGAATGAGGAGCTTATGTTTTTTTTTATAGCACTTAACTAATAGGCCCTAATTTTGAATTTTTTTTAAATTTTTAGATTTTTTTTCTGTTTGAATTTTAATATTTGTGACCGGCTCTGGCAAAACCCTCCGTTTATTGCAATTTTAAATTTTCCACAAGCACCAAAAACTTTCGAGATATCAAATTTTGAAAATTTTCATGTTTTTTGTTTTTAGATTTAAAAAATTTTGAAGAACATTTCTATAAAATATCAATTACTAAATCTAACTGAAATGTGTATTAAAATTAATTTAAAAATACAAATCTTAATGATAAACTATTGATTTTGGAATCTTTGGAAGCTGTTTTCTCAAAACCTACATGGCTGATATCCAATGAAATAAATATTCATAACTTTGGTAATACTCAACCAATTTCCATCAACCAAACACTGTTTTAAAGAAGACTTCATGCAGAATTTAAAAACACCAAAAACTCAATTTTGAATTTTTCCTACAAACAGAGGGTTTTGCCAGAGCCAGTCACATTTTAGTATTCTGTTTTTGCCAACTGAAGATGATTTTCAAATTTTTTATGAAAGACTGATGAAGCTTATTCTTTTTTGTAATCATAATGGACAACACATAACAGCGATCAGAATTGAAAATAATAGAATATGTGTTCTATGCAGTTATCATCAATCAATACTAAGTGCATTGTGAGCCTTTTCCTTTGTAGAGAACTTCTTAACTGTTATGTTTTTATAACATTTAAGTAATCTTGCTTCATTGAAGTCCTTTTTATTTTATTTGTATAAGGCAAAATAAATGATGTACTATATGATATGTACATGTTTAATATTCTTTTGTGTGAATTTATATTTGCAGTTTTGAACAGATGTGTATCAACTATGCAAATGAAAATCTCCAACAGTTTTTTGTTCAACATATCTTCAAGCTTGAACAGGTGAGCTATCTGCGATGATAATTGTACTTTTTTGTTTTTTGTTAAAAGTTAATAGTAGTTAATAATCACAAGCATTATTAATCACAATAGAAACCAAAAATAAAGACAACAAAGTTTATTATGCTCTCTCAATACTATCAGTTGTTTTGGTCAAGTATATTTGATTTTGCCAATATATAGGCCTGATAATGTCATCAACCCCAAATGGGCTAATCACAATTTATTTTACATACATAAACATGATACTGTGAACAGGGTATAAAAAATTATTTTATAATAACATGATAAAATTAAGTAAATAATATCAACTACGAATTGTTTATTGTTATTATTTTTATAGTGAATTATAGTTATTTTACTTCTTCCATTACTGTTGTTATTATTTATTGTATTTTTTTCTTATTTAATTCAGGAAGAGTATGAAAGAGAAGGTATCCAGTGGCAACACATCCAATTTGTGGACAACCAAGAAACACTGGACATGATCGCAGTCAAACCACTCAACATTCTTGCTCTGGTGGATGAAGAGAGTCGCTTCCCAAGGGTAAGGTTACTTCTTTCTAATAATGGTAATTCTTTCACATATTTTCTGCAGACTGGAATATAACATGGTTATAAACCACCCTTCTGTTGTATAAAAAAACATTCAAACTGGTTAAATTCGCTATATAAATGCCAAAATGATTTAGCTCGAGGGGCTTAACCCCACCCTAAGTCCAGTGTCGGCACTACAAGGGGAGGGCATTTCGCTTCTCTGTTCGACCAGTAAGGGTGATTTATAAAAATGTATAATACTTGTTGAAATGGAGCCCAAAATTGCCCAGTTTTTCTAGGTGCTAATGGGCTAATTTACTGTTGCGCTCATCGGAGCTTTGTCCCTAAGACCTGCTGGTTTTTGTTAAAAAGTTTTGTGCCTTATATATATTACTGTCATTGAAATGTTTACTATAAAATAGGAGAAAAACGTATATTTAGTGGTTTGTGTTTTAATTTCAGGGAACGGACAAGACCATGTTGCAGAAGTTGAACAATCAGCATGGCAAAAACCCCCTCTACATGAAAGCACGCTCTGCTGCTGGAACTCAGTTTGGAATCAACCATTTTGCTGGACAGGTGTTTTATGAAACAGTTGGTAAGTTCTCATCATCAATGATGTTTCAAATGTAAATGAAACACTAACAAAAAAAAATGTTATTGCTGAAGTTACTCCATATCAAAAAAGTAACACGATTCTGAGTCACTAGAAAATTCGGGTTTAGACATTTAGCAGTTGCTGTGTATTGTACTATAAAACCTTGTAGTAGAACATTGAGTTTTTCTAATGATTGGATTTGCTATACAAATAACTTTGGTTAATAAAAATGATAAAGAGATTTTCTTTTTTTTTTCTAGGATTCCTGGACAAGAATAGGGATACATTTAGCCCAGACTTCTTGGAACTCATCCAGAAGGGTGGAAACAGCTTCCTCAAGATGCTGTTCAAAGCTGACTTTGCCACCAGCCGTGACCAACGAAAGTCGTCACTAGTGGCAAAGTCTACACTTGGAGCTCAGTTTAAGAAGTCGCTTGACTTATTGATGAAGACACTAAATGCTTGCCAACCATTTTTTGTGCGCTGTATCAAGCCAAATGAATTTAAGAAACCAAGTGTACGTCTATTTACTTAGGCTATTAAGTTATTTACTGGATAAAAAACTTAACTATACCCAATTTTCAATTTTTTTTACAAACTTTTTGCTTTCAATCACACCATAAAATATTGCTAATATAAATCCAATCTATAAATGAGGTTCGTCTTTTACTGTTTCTTATTCGCATGTGACATATAATTGATTATCTTCATATTCTTCCGTTCCTAGTTTTTTGAACGTGAACTTGTTGTGAGGCAGCTCCGTTACTCTGGAATGATGGAGACCATTAGGTGAGTGTGCCCTCATGTTAAAGAAATTACTACAAGTTTAAAAGTTTTAGATCATCAAGTTATCCACATTTGTAAAAAGCCGGTGAACCCTCTCATTACATGGAGGCATGTGGCACAGCGGTATGACATTGTGCTCTCAGTCCAGAGGTCGTGGGTTCAAAATCATGCCATGCTTGTCTTCTCTCTTCACACAGGGAGTATAAATGAGGCTTGCAAATCCAGAAGCGGCATACTGTAGTTAGTAACTGTTAGACTGAGTAATTAGCATAATGGCAGTATTGTGTACTTTAGTACAGAGAAGCTGTAATACTTGTACACGCAACTTTGGCAATAGTAATTCTATTCCAGTAGATGACCTATCATTTTAATACATAATAAATGTATTACTGTTGGATTTTATTACTGTGCACACTTTATCATTTCCTTTTTTTTTTTTTTTATTAGCATTCGTCGAGCTGGCTATCCCATTCGTCACACATTCTATGAGTTTGTTGCTAGATACAGGATACTCGGAACTGGAATAAAACCAGCGCACAAAGAAAATTGTAGGGCAGCCAGTAAGACAATCTGCACAGATATGTTAGGAGGACAGGACTGGCAGTTAGGCCATCAAAAAGTATTCTTAAAGGTACATTTGGTTTCAATGACTTTCAATGTTGAATAATAAATGGCTTTGAATATTTTGTAATTTTTGTTGTCAAAAAAAGACTGTTTACAAAAGATGCTACTACCATTCTAGGATGCTCAAGATTTACTGTTAGAGCAGGCAAGGGACCGAGCCTTAGCTGAGAAATGTATCATCATCCAGAAGGTAGTGCGCGGATGGTTCTACCGTAAACGCTACATTGCCATGAGGAAGAGTGCCATCTACATTCAACGTTGCTGGAAGAAGTTTGCACAACGTGTGCGGTTTTTAAAGGTCAGTTTACAATGAATTTTATTTTCTTGTACTGGTAACTGCGTGTACCTATGCGCTTATCTATGATGAGTGAATGTGTATGAATATCTAATAATAAGGCACTTGAGATAACGATGAGATTTTAGCATCGTACTTAAAAAGGAATAATGTTAAAATACACAATAGAAATCAAAACCTGTGGAGAAAACATTTATTGATGATGCTGCCACCACTGCCCTTGTTGTTGCTGCTACGGATGCCACTACTAATTCTGCTACCACCATCGGTGGTAGGCACTGCCACCAATGCTGCTGCTGCCAACACTGCTATTCTTGTTGCTGCTACCACTGCCTCCAGTTTTGCTGCCAATGCTACTTGTGGAATTATTATGGTAATACTACTGTAGAGGAACTGTTAGTGTGATTACTTTGACAACTGCAGTGGTTAGTTGAACTGTAATAAGTATCCAGCAACATGATTGTAGTCCACATAACTGACTTATTTTTTGGACTTTGGCCTATTAACATTGTTTTAATTTTGTTATATTAGATGAGAAAAGGTTTCCTGAGGTTGCAGGCATGCATTAGGTCCAGAACACTTTCCTACAAGTTCCACTTTATACGCTACAGAATTGGGCTTTTCCAGGTGAGCTGATGTTTTTATTAGTTCCTCATTGGTGGGCTGTCAGACAATAATGCCAGAGATTTTTCAATTTCAATGAGCTTTTCCAACTAATAGCAGAGTGAATTAAATTTCCATCGATACATTGACGATTGTTATACATTTTTTTTGTTTTTAAACAGGCTTATTGCCGTGGTTACCTAGTACGTAGAGAACACCGCAAATACATTGGTAGTATTGTCAAGATTCAATCTGGTTTTAGAATGTTGCTGGCAAGGAATCAGTATCTGAAAATCAGAAATGAGGTTAGTAATTGCCAGACCATTGTAGTGATGATTAATGTAATTTGTAGAAACTAATAAAACTTCACAGCCAGCCAATCACAAAATGAACATCCTTAGGATGTTTACAGTTTTTATCAGGAATATTAAAAGTGGATTAATCAAAACCACAATATGATCATTGGCTCCCCTTGCAAATATCTGTTTATTTAATCTGTAGTTATTTTATTATAAAATTAAAAATTCATTTAAACAATTATAAGTAAATTTATTATATTTAATAATTAGGATCTTAAATAAGCCAATATATATATATTTTTTTTATGTAGGTTTTATTTTAAGTACATATTTAGTAGGCAATTTTGAAATGGGTTGTACTAAGTATTAATGTATTTTTGTTATTACAAATCTATTTTTATTTAATATAATTTTATTGTTTACCTGTCAATTCTAGCACCGTAGAAGAAAGGAAGCAGAAAAGTATAGAAAGAAGATGGAATCACAGTTAAAGAAACAAATGGGATCAAAGAAAGCAAAAGAAGAATCCCAAAGACTGATGCAGGTAATGTATTATAGTACTTTGAGTATAAGTCTACATTCCAAATGGTTGGAACCTTTACCATTTAAATAATTTTTTAACTTTGATAGTATACTCAGTTACCTTATACCATTTAAATAATTTTTTAACTTTGATAGTATACTCAGTTACCTTATCCCATGTCTGAAATTTCAAATCTTGTCACAAAACACAATGATAATTATGAATGTCCATTGTTGAATTGATATATTTTTTTTACCACAGGAACATCTTAAAGAGCTGGAGAGAAAAGATGCTGATGCTGATTTACGAAGAAAACGAGAACGACTTGATAATATTGCGAAGATAGCAGAAGCAGAGAAGCGAAGGAATCGCGATATCAGTGATGAGCACCTAGTGGACGAGGTCTTCGGTGAGATACTCAACGAAGATAACAGTGGCCAAGCTCCAGTAGGGTTTGAGGTAGAGTTAATTCTCTTCTTACTGCAGTTCGCCCTCCAATTTCGAAACCACCTTTAGGACCGGAAATTTTTGGGGTAGTCTTGTAGTTCAGTTTCCACATAGAGGGTTAGCTTAGTGTTAATAGATTGAAGATTGTTATTGGTTCTTTGAAAAAGTGGTCTCGAATTAGAAGTGTCTCGTAATTAGAGGGGTCTTGAATTTTATATTTATGGATGTGTCTCAGGAGTGATATGTCTTAAAGCTCTGATGACACTATCAAATTTTATGTAACAAAATTGTGTGATATGCCCATATTTGAGCATTGTGATGTCATATTACACCCAAATATGGGCATATCACAGTTGTTTGTCATGTATAATTTGATAGAGTGGAGAAAACTGTACTAGAGGTTCAGTCACTGTGAATTTCTCAAGAAAAATGTATACACATGATCCTATACTTAATATAATATGAGACTTAAGTCCAACTCAGACAACGTCGTTGAATGTGCAGCACGACATTATTTGTTGTCGTGTCGGGTCTGTGTGAGTTCAACACAGACTCGATGGTTTGTGTCACGGCCAGTCGCATTGTAGAATATTAAAATGTTTAATATTTCTCATGACGGCTTAAGACTGTTCCTGAAGATGAATCTTGTCGGGCTGCGTTGTACAACGCTGTCTGAGTTGGCCTTTAGGGAACGAGTTGTTTTAGGTCACGAAGACCCTTGTATATGAAGGTAAACATCTTCTGAATTATGAAGCTTCAGCTCAATTATAAGATTTTGGTTTGTTTGATCAGAAATGTCTGAAACATGTAAGTGCTATCAAACAAAGTCTTATTGAACCTTGTCAAGTCTGAGAGATCAAAATCTGATAGTGTATGGCTGCAGTTAAGTTCTTTCTAATGCTTTTATATTCTATATTGCATAGGAACCTCTATAATGGCTCAAATGCTGAAGAACTCAAAGTGTATTATATTTGTAGCTGTGTAGTCTAAATCCAAAGACGCTTCTACAAGAACTAAACGGTCTGAACACACTTTTGCTTGACAACCTCTTCATTCAGCTCATTAATGCCAGTCACTCCGTGTTTACCAATAAGTAATGTTTAAGCTATAGCCTACATATACAATTCCTGTCTCAGGCACTGTACACTGACAACAGTATATTTCAGTACTGATCAGCGCAGCTTGTTGCCTGTCCAGTGAGCATGTATGGTTCACTGAAAACCAGCAAAACACCTGCATTTCACATAATTAAAATGCTGTAACATTATTCATAATGTAAAACCCTGTCCAGACTAGCATGTTTTATTTGACCCAAAACTCTTCTATGCCCATATATAGTCATGATGTGCCTATATATGATCATGATGTGATGTCATCATGCCCATATTTAGGCATGTCACATGTTATTGTCAAATAAAATTTGATAGTCTGGGACAGGGCTTAAAGCAACATGGCAGTCATTAATAATTGCCAACTGTTCCAACTTTTCAACTTGTCGCCAATTATGGCACTAGCCTCGTTGTTCATCAATCATGCATTATTTGCTACGTGTTAGCTTCGCTCTGAATACTCACTTAGAAACTGAGGGTGTACTCTTGATATAAGAGGACATGCCTACACAAAATACTTTTACAACGTTGTTGGCATTATTTTACTGTCCCATTATTTGGCACCCATTAATGCCAGAGGACATTCTTGTCAGTGATACATAAGATCATGTGTGCTGTGGAAACTTTTTGTTTCATTTTTGTGTTTGTGGTGATTCTGAAAACATTTTTTTTTTCTTTGATGTTTCAGCAAAATCATCATTTTTTTCTTCTTTTTTTTTTTTAAGGACTTGGAGAGGTCACGAAAGGAAGCCATTGAAAGAGGCCCAGATGATCCAAATCAACGACTGCCTGTACCAGATCTGGAGGAAGACATTTCAGACTACAAGTTTGCCAAATTTGCTGCCACCTACTTTCAAGGCGGTGCCACAGCAACATACGTCAGAAAGAAGTTAACTGATCCACTACTTGATCTGAAAAATGATGGCGATCGAAGTGTATGTAAACATAGTTTTGGTTTGTTTTTTTTTACTTTTTTTTCTACACTTGACTTGAGCCATGCAATCGTTCATCTGGTGTCAACAGCTTTGATAGCTTGAATGCTGATAACTTGAATCAATCAATTAAACAAATTCTGTAGCAAAAATTATGTAAATCAGTGATGTTGTGAAATATTTTGTATTTAATATCTTTTTATTAACTGCACAGTCATAATTTTTCGTCTCACTTATAGGCTGCTTTGGCTGTCTGGATAACAATTCTAAGGTTTATGGGTGATCTACCTGAACCCAAAGCACACGCATCATTGGCCGATAGGGTAAGTGATCACTCGTATTCATGAACAACATAATTTTGAAAAATGTGTGTGACCAGTCTTCTTTGGGTGATGTCGTACGTATAATGTCGCACAAAACCTGAACTATTTGATTCTTCTTTATTTTGTGTCCATCAAAATTACAAAAATCACCCAAGTGAATATTGTCATTTGATTAAAAATGTCTTTAATGTTAGAGCAATATCATTTGGAGAAAAGCTTACCCAATGTTTTAAGTTCTGTCAGTGATCAACACCTTTAATGTAATTATCACAATTAAGGTGACATTAAATTTGGTTGCTTACATACTCTTTGTATAGTATCGGTGGTATACTGAAGCTGTACCGATAAATATATTTATAAATAATTTGATTATGGACGTTACCATCCAAACAGTTCTTCTCAAAGCCAAATACCATCAATTAAAATTTGAGCATATGCCACACTGTATACCGAAAAAAAACCTAAGCCTTCAAGACTTAATTTTGATTTTGTTTGAATTTTAATTTAGGATGGCAAATCAGTTATGACCAAGATTTACAATACTCTGGGCAGAAGCAGAGGTCAAAAGGAACTCGCACAGATGTCTGATGATGTGGCAGTAAGTAATAATTTTCTAGTAGTTCAAGAATTAGAGATGGATTAAGATCTAAAAATAGGAGTACAAGAGGATGTGGTCATAATACCATGTTTCATGTACAACTTTTTTTTGGATTTGTAAAGCTCCTAATGCACTTTCAGGATCTACCATTGGAGTGAATAAACATTGGACTTGCGCATTCCAATATACATTTTTTAAGGTTTACATGGCAAGTCAACAATAATGATATTTTTGAAAAGGAAATGTAGTCTAAACTAAATAAGTGATAATATTAATAATATTAACAAAGATAAGAAGGTAGCTATTTCAATACTAGTAGAAATATTTAAAATAATGTCATAGCAGTAAAAGATAGTCCCGTGACTATGAAATCAAAGTGCCATTGACACGATGTCTCTTTGGAGACTTGGACCCACCATCCCAGATGCCGGTATAGATAATGTCTTCTGATACAATCTCAACAATGGATTCTTGTTTTAAATCTGTTTACCATAGTAATCCTGCTTTATAATTTTTATAAGAATATTCAGTTTAATATTATTGACAACCATATTTCCTGCTTTCTACTGCTATATATGATTTTTCATACACAGATCCTCTTTATAATCTCTGGTTTCCTTATTACAAATTACTACTTTAATCCTCTTTTACCAAGATAGGTGGTTAGATGTTTTATTCAACAACTTTTTTCTCCAACAACTTCTATTCCCATTCTCATGTCATTTTCCACTCATCTTGAATTCTTTTCTACAGCGAAGTCTGCATGGAGGAAACAAAATGGTATTTTTATTTTTTATATCATTTCTTGATTTTTCTGTTCTTTAAATTTGTGCTGTTGCATAACAAATATAGAGAAATGCTTATATTTATACAGATGTTTTTATCTGTTGTTTCTGTATTACTTCTATTGCTTCTTTTAAGTTCTCATATAATAATCAGTAGAGAGCGCTGTACATAGATTGGTTACCCTATAGAGGCAGAATATATAGACAGAATTCAAATGACAATTGAGTGCATTAATTCAGTTTTTCCATTCCTGAGAAAATAATCCTATAAGACTGTGATTGGCATATAAAATAAAAATACCTATACAGTAGTATTATATTACTACATAATAAAGAATATAAAAAGTACACTTAACAGTGTAAATATAATAATTATAGTAAATAATATCAATAACTATATTAAATTTGAAAATTCCATATCAGCTGAATGTTTTAGGACATGTGTCAGCACAAAAGTGAATGCTTGTTAAGATACTGGCATGATGCAGTAGTTAATTATAAAATCAATATATATCTTTAATGCTTGCCATTTTATATATATTTTTTGTTTTTGTGTGTGTAAAAATCAGTTGTTGAGCACATTATTCTGCTATTTTCAAAAATTATATACACTATAAACAGATTATACAAACAGGGATAGGAGTTATAAATCTTTCCCTGGTTTTAAAGTACAAGATTTTAAACAAATCTAGCTCAAAATGGTTTTTACTGTAGCATTTAAGTGTAAAAATGACAAAAGTGATGATTTTAAGTGATAAAACCAAGCAATTACCAAGACATAGAGTATAACATTTTTAAAAGCATTTTGTACATAGATAGTAACAACATTTGTACACATTCTCTTTGAGCACATTTTTCTTTCTGTGTAACTTGCTCTTTGAAGCTTTGTTGAGGTTTTGTACCCTTTTTCCTTTATACCTCTTTTCTTTAGTACTGTAGCTATATAGATTGCAATGCATTTAAGCACTGTAAATAATAAGATTGTAAGAGCTGTTGAATGGAGGTGTAAACTTTGTTATAATTTTTACCTTCCTACTCCAGTATCTAGGTTAAAAAAATTATAACAAGGCTATGACATTCTATAATATATTTATTCTTTAATCCATCTTGTAGTTTTATGTGTGCATTGATATTTTGGTGTAATGTTAAAGGTCATGGCATATAAACAATGAAATGAATATGTAAATAACTGCGATGTAGTTTGAAGAATAGTTGCAGTATTTATTTAACATGTACCATAAAGGTAAGAACTATGTCAAGAAGTAATGATCCTATGCCATTGAAATTTATCTGTTGAGAGTGATGTTTAGGTCTTGACCTCGGACAGAGACTGAGGTATGAGAATGTAACTCCAATCAGATTGTATCTAATAAGTACCAAATTACTTGATATTGGACGACAATGAACTTCTACATTAATGTCTATCCTGTCATGTGATTTGGATATAGAATAAAAGAATTAAAGATTAAATAATTGGATAGAAATATACATCTTATATGTATTATATATATATTTTTTTTGAATAATAATATATTTAAAAATAAATACCTGTTTATTTTTTATTCTGTAGTCCATGTCAGGGTCTCAACGGAAGAGCACTGTTCGGAAAAAACTTGTGTCCTTGACGCTCAAGAGGAAGTCAAAGATCTCACAGGATGTTGCAGAAAGAATTCGAGATGGAGAAGAGATAGACATCGATCACAGCATGATCATCGACCGACCAACATCTAATCTTGAGAAACTTCATTTTATCATTGGTCATGGCATCCTGAGACCAGAACTCAGGTGAGAGGAGAAAATAACACAAATAATGATGAAACATGTTATTGGATAGTTATGACCTTTTTTGACTAAAAATTACATTTAATTTAATTATAGCACTATTAACGCTTTGGGAGCCAAAGACGAAAATCTCCGTCTTTGGTAACCCATTGGAGCTATTATGATTCTTTTATAAAAGATTTAAGCTCTGTTGAATGTCTAGACTGCCTAGAAACTTTATTTGAAATCACCCATCCACCCATGCATGTGGTGAAAAGCTTCCACATTACATCAGCTTTTTGCTAAATTTGCGAAAAGTAGCCATACTTACCATCATTTTTTATACATGTTACAGTCTTTGTGGCAGCATTCAATGGAACAACCATGGCTTGTACATGAAACATAAATTAGAGTTTACTTATTCTTCAAAATCTTTTGTTTTACCTCCCATGTCATAAGGTTTCCATTTTATTACATTACTTTGACAGAGATGAAATATACTGTATGATCTGCAAACAACTGAGTGGCAACACTGCCAAGGGGAGTCATGCGAGAGGTTGGATTTTGCTCTCACTTTGTGTTGGATGTTTTGCTCCCACAGATCGGGTAAGGCAACTATTAATCACAAATTTCTTTTGTAGTTGTTTGATATTGAGGTTACTCCCGTTGTCGCTCTCGTTATTGTTGTTGTTACCTTCACTAAGGCATTTTTTTTACAATATCTGTTAATTTAACTAATAATTTTTTCCTTAGTTGAGAAAATTTGAACTTTTTTGAGAAGGTAATAAACAGTTTCCAGAAAAACCCCAAACAACCCCCCAAATTTCAGTTTTTTGCACACATACTGCATGATGATGAATTATTTTTCTTTGGTAGTTTGTGAAGTATCTGCGTTGCTTTATTAGTGAAGGCCCACCAGGGTATGCACCGTACTGTGAGGAGCGCCTAAGGAGGACTTTCGCTAATGACACCAGGAACCAACCCCCAAGTTGGTTGGAGCTACAGGTGGGCAGTGTTAAGCAAATATTTGGTTGTAATTTTACTAATATTTACACCAAATTTTTAGAAATTCTGTTGATAGATAGTTTTATATATAACATTAATTTAATTGTCTGCATCTAAAGAGAGTAATTGTAAAAAAAATTATTACTTAAATTAATAATTTGAGTGCTTGATTTTTTTATTTTTATCTAGGCTACTAAATCAAAGAAGCCAATCATGTTACCCATAACCTTTATGGATGGCACAACAAAAACTCTGCTAGCAGACTCCGCGACAACAGCACGTGAACTGTGTACGATGTTGGCAGAGAAGATCGGCCTTAAAGATCAATTTGGGTTCTCCCTCTACATTGCTCTTTTTGATAAGGTATTTACAGTGTTGTATTTTGTAGTAATAATTCTTATACTTATGTTTAATAAAGGTTTTTCTTTGGCTATATGGTACTGGTATGCAATTTTTGAATAATAATTCAAGACTGCTTAATAGTAAGTACATTTCATTTCCATTTTTCTTTCCAGATATTTTAGAGTTTTTCCATCTTTGATGGTCCAATGGTTTCAACAGCAACAATGCATCATACACAACTATACTATACACGTTTGGTAATACAAATACATGAAAATACAATGTACTAAATACAAAAATTTCAGATATGCAAATGTAGACATGGCACAGTTATCATTACAGCATTTATAAAAAATAACTGGTAGCTTTGCACTATCTGACTGGAGACCTAGCAAATTTTGCCATTGTAGCTGAAACTGATGCCCAGGTGAAAACTATTCTGTGTAAATATAATTATATTTAACAATCTCCATCTACCCTTACTTTTACTAACTTTTTTTTTTTCACTTTATAGATTTGTAGCAATGCATTTTAGTTTTTGTTAATTCATTTTATATCCTCGAGGTTTCTTACTACCAACACCAACTTTAATTTTGTTTTAATTTTGTTTTTTTCTTATTTTACATAGATGAAATATTTGCGTATTTTTTTTTAAAAGGTTTCCTCATTAGGTAGTGGTGGGGATCATGTTATGGATGCTATCTCCCAGTGTGAACAGTATGCAAAGGAACAGGGTGCCCAAGAACGTAACGCACCATGGCGTCTGTTCTTCCGTAAGGAGATCTTTGCCCCATGGCATGATGCACGTGAAGATCCTGTTGGCACAAACCTCATCTACCAGCAAGTTGTGAGAGGAATCAAGTTTGGTGAATACAGATGTGATCGGGTATGTGGTCATTCTAATTTATGCCCCTATGTACATATATCTGTATGCATGTATGTATGTTTGTATAATAAATCTTTTTTGCCAGTTGCTTTTTTTTTATATTGATTGCTAATTTATTTTACCAGGATTCTGATTTGGCTGCAACAGCTGCTCAACAATATTACGTAGAGTACGGTCCTCAAATGGTGATGGATCGTTTGATTGGTCTACTGCCGATGTATATTCCAGACAGCGCAATGACAGGCTCAAAAACGATTGAACGATGGGCTGACATGGTTCGACAAGAACACAGAAATGTGAGCTTTTATTTGAAAGTCGAAGCTTTTTATTATATTTACATGTAGGCTTGCAAAACAAGTATAAACAATTAAAAAAAACATTTCAAATAAGAATAAAAGGGAGTCAGTGAATAGTGATAAACTGCTATTTTTAATGCTATTTGCTACTATATATACAACATTTTCGCTAAATTTGAAATGAAAAAATTTTTGAGAATCTGGCAACTACCACTGAGGGACATCCAGAGACCTAGGCATTTTACTCTACATAATTACCAGTATTTATCTGTGCTCAGTGACTGGTTCACAACCTTGTGGTTGTAGAGGCGTAGGCTAGTCTTTGAAAACAAAATGCCAAAAAAAAATAATAAATAAATAAAATAGGGGCACATGAAAGCTGCAGTGTTTTTAGTTGTTGAAGTACTCAAAGGAAGAAATGTGTCTAAAAAACGAAATTTGCTTGGGCTAGGTTGCTGGATGTCTCCCAGTAAAAAGTTGTGAGATATTGGTGGCGCTGTTTCAAAAGAGACTCGATAAAATGGTGTGTACTTTTATTTACAGAGTTATTATGTGCGGGATAATGTCCAGGGAATGCGTGTAAAGGAAGATGTCGTTGACTATGCTCGCTTCAAATGGCCGCTCCTATTTTCAAGATTCTATGAAGCCTATAAATTCTCTGGACCAAGTCTGCCAAAGAATGATGTGATCGTTGCAGTTAACTGGACAGGGGTGTATGTGGTGGATGATCTGGAACAGGTGTTACTGGAGCTGTCTTTCCCTGAGATAACACAGGTTTCTAGTAGCAGGTAATATAGAGTGAATTTTATATAGATTTGCATAGACTATCAAAAACACATGAAATAACAGGTTTGTAGACCATTTCCGGAACTAAGATTTCGTGAGACGGTTAATTAGATATTTAGCTGTTGAAGAAGAAAAATAATTCGATTTTTAGGCCATTTTTTGAGATCTCATATCCTATAGGTTGTTTACGCAAGGCTGGCCTGTGTGACAACTTAGCCATTTTGCCATAACATGCCTCCAATATGCCTGAAACTTTTTTTTAAATTTTAAGGATTTATCTGGATACAGCCCGGAGGTTTAAATTCTAGCAGCAATTATGCCATGTAAGTTCTTAATGATTTCTGCTTGATTTTTCAGAACGGGTAAACTTCATGGTCAGAGTTTCACTCTGTTAACAGTCAAGGGCGATGAATTTACATTCACCTCATCAAATGCTGAGGACATCCGAGACCTCATTGTGGGATTCCTTGAGGGACTGAAGAAAAAGTCTCGTTTTGTTGTCTCTTTGCAGGACAACCCCAGTCAAGGTTTGTCTGATTCTTCATTCAGTAGCTAATTTGAACTCCTAGGATCTGCATTATGGCAATTATTTGAATTCTTCTAATGACTAGAATATTTCTTAATCATAGTATAATATATTTATAGTATATTGAGAGCAGCTTAGCTCAGTCACCTAAACTGGTGGTAGCTACTGTATGTGCGCTGAACCGTGGAGGTTTCTTGGTCCCCTGTTCAATTCCCATCGCTGCTTTTCTTGTATTTAAGCTGGAGGGCTGAAGTTACGATAGTGCACTGTCTGCATTATGGCACATGTGATAATTTGAAAAATTGTATAAATATTTCCGGGGGGTTATAATTATTATTATTATTAATATTTCAATCCAAAGTTGTGGCCTAAAATCACTAATCAAAGTAATTTACACTCACTACCACCAATCATAGTTATTTGTTGTCTACATAATTTTTGTATACTTTTTTTTATGGTAGGTTTGATGTACAATGGATCAAACCAAATTCTAATATTCAAGTGACAAAAAAAACCCACCACCATCTAGTTTGTAGCCTCTTATTAAAAATGTGGATTGATAGAGGGCACCATCTTTTAATTACTATAGTAGCTGGTTGGATTAGAAATAAATACAATTTTATGTTGATTTTTATTTTTTTGTAGGCGAAGGCTCGTCTTTCCTTAGTTTCCAGAAGGGAGACTTAATCATACTAGAACATGAGAATGGTGATTCCGTAATGAACAGTGGCTGGTGCTACGGCGAGAATGACCGGACAGGCAAGAAAGGAGACTTCCCTGCTGACTGTGTATATGTTCTTCCAACCATGACCAAACCACCCCGGGAAATAGTGGTAAGTTCCATTGAAAATAATAAGATGAATAAAAAATTGTTTTTTATTTTTTATTCATTTTTATCCGAAAACATCATACTAAAAAAAATTACATCTTGTGGCCAAAGGCCAGATTGCATGTAATTTGTACAAGTTCCTATAAAAGTCAATATACACTGGACTTTTTTGCAAACTGTGTATTACTTTATTTTAAAATGTTTATATTATTAGAAATTAATGCAGTAAAACATCTATTTTAAAAAACGTCGATTTTACGAATAGTTGATTTTACGAATGGTCTCTGCCCCTTATGACGTCATCATCGACCAACTATTACCGTAAAAAAGTCAGATTGCGCATGTTTTACAAAGTGATAATGTGTATTTTTCTTAATAAAATCAAGTGGGATGTAACATCCTGTTTTACATATGGTCCTGTTTTACGATACAAGATTACAGTATATAAAATATCAAAAGCATATTAATTAAATTGAAAAGGATTGCAAAATGCATGTAAACAACACAATTCGGCGATCTAATATCTAGAAAGAACACGATAGAAAGGTCCATAAAACATACAGATATTTAAAAGAGTTAAAATAATATTTTGTTAAGCGGAAAAATTCCAGTGATTAAAATAATTTGGTTTTTATCGAAGGTAAATTCAGCTAGGCTCTAGCGCAGTAGACCACGCTGCTGCACTGTTGGTTTGTGTTGGGCCTGACTGCCGTCAGCCTATCGGCGCTCAATGGCAGAGGATATGCTAGGCATAGGTATTGGAAACTGACACCCGATCTAGTTTACAAATTTTTCAATTTACAAACACCCCTTGGTACCAAAAGGTACGTAAAATGGACGTCTTACTGTACTCATATTGTTGTTTCAGTCTCTTTTTACGATGGACAGAAGTCAAATATCCGAGAGATTGATGACAGCATCAGAGATGGCTATCAGCAGTCAGGACTCACCAGAAAAACCCCACACCTTAGAAGAGTTTGCTATTGATCACTTCAGGTAGGCACCACTTTTCTCTGTCTTTCACATGTTTTCCTTATTTTGTCTGATGATCTACACTAATCAAATCATTGATAATATATGTTTTCATTGTTTCTCAAATATTACATTCTTTTGTGATTGGTAATTTCTCAGGCCACCTCCGAAACGTACATTGAGCAAAGCTGTGAGGTCTTTAAGAGGGCGCACTCAAGATGACCTTTGGAGTCACAGTAAAGAGCCAATCAGGCAACCACTTCTGAAGAAGCTAATGAGTAATGATGAATTAGCAAGAGAGTCTACAGAAGCTTTTCTAGATATCCTTTGTCTATCATGACTTTCACTTTAATTATTTATTGTATAATTTCATATCTGTGTACCTTTGCTACAAGTCAAGTGGCTGAGTGGAAAATCAAGAGCGCTGCTAACTGCAATCATAACATCATTGCTGGTTCGAGCCGCTCCTTGCTAAGGGTGCGGTTGGTATGACCAAGTCTTCTCAGATAAAAACTTTAAAATAGAGGTCCCGTGTACATATCAGGCTTGTGTGCTCTTTAAAAAACCTTTGCATCTTTTGGAAGAATAGGGGTTACCCCAATTTTATGGCTCATTTCAGCCCCTGTCGTTAAAGAATGATGAACATGAAGCTAGTATAAGCGCTTCTTTATGGCGGCTAGGTAGTCATGGACCGTGCCCATACCTTTACCCTTACCTTTTTGAAAGGATGTCTGTGATGGTATATGCTGTCAATGAATCAAGAAGTGGAGAAGGTTGCACTATTTTTTTTATTAATTCTCTCCAGTGACCAGGGTGAAAAAAATGATCAATTTTTGATAAAAGCACAATGTACATAATACCCAAAATGTAAATAATTTTTTCCTTGACCTTTGCTTCACCTATCATGAAGTATATGGGAGACTATCCAACAAGAAGGGATTACAGACACGGCAATGAACTCACAGATCAAATCTTTGAGGGCGCCTTGAAGAACGAGCCTTTACGTGATGAGATCTTTTGTCACATAATAAAGCAGCTGACCGGTAACAAAATAAAGTGAGTTAATGTTAAAGTTAAGTCATGTGTTGTCTAAAGTGTTATCCCATGGTTTGGTTTGTGGAGGTTCTAATATTTTCTAACTACATTGGAGTAAATCTGTAAATTTGTGGATAAGATGTTCCCCTCCAATTTAGTGGTTGCACTTCAGATTGTGAGAATAGCTGTTTGTAAATTAAACCAAAAAAGGCCAGTTTCACCCAGCTGCTTACTTGTGATGGCTAGATAGTTAAATTACAACTTACCAAAGTGTATGATCCTTTGAAAAAAGATTTTGTATGAATTAAGTCCCTTGTGCATTTTAATGAAATCTGCAAATTTACAGTTAGGATTTGGTCCTTGGTGAACCTATCCTGTGAATTTTTTTAAGTTAAGCAAATTAATGTAAATATATAACTTTTGTCACCTCCAAACATAGTATCAATCAATCAAACATTTATATTGTGCCAATTCCAAAAAAATGATCAAAGGCGCATTGTACCCTGAAGTTTGGTGTACAAATAAGTCTTAAGGTTTATTTTAAATGAATCAAGAGAGGAAGAGTTTTTTTAATGAAAGATGGGAGTATGGCACTATCTAAGTCATGAATACGCTTCTGCTTTACTTGTTTATAGATTCAGTGAGGAGCGAGGCTGGGAACTCATGTGGTTGATGACTGGCATCTTTGCCTGTAGTCAGACGCTACTTCCAGATGTCACTAAATTCCTGCGTTCAAAGCGCCACCAGTTGGCCATGGACTGTATACACCGCCTGCAGAAGACCATCCGATATGGACAACGTAAATATCCACCACATCTGGTGGAGGTAGAAGCAATCATCCACAAGACAACACAAATATTTCACAAAGTTTACTTTCCAGATGACACCGATGAGGTCAGTGGAAATGCTCAATTGCATATTATAAATATTAGTCATTATAATGTTTGGTATTTGTTAGCAGTTCATACAAGTTTGGTTTCTTTGGATTTATTCATTAAATCAGATTATACATAAATCATATACAGAGAGAGATTAGGCTGAATTTTAAAAAAAGTAATAAATGTGGCAAAGACAAGCCAAACCAGTCACTCATCGGAAAAATCAATTTTTAGTTATTAATACAGTGTTAGAAAGTAAAATAAGAGCTATGGTAAAAAAATCATTCAAATCGGACATTTCCTTATGAAGTTACAAGCGTTTAACCACACAGCTGTTTAAAGAACAATATATGAGAAATTAACCGTCAAAGTTTCTGATTTCAGGCATTTCTCATGCAGAAACTATCTTTAAATCCTTAAAAAGTATTGTTTTAACACTGAAAATGGGGAAAATAACAGCATAGAATGATGTGTAGATATATAAAGGTTAGTTTAGTGCAATAAAATAGATTTCCAAAATTTTGAAATTCCAGCATGTTTTGGCCATTATCTCCAAAACAGGATTTGCGACGAGTGACTGGTTTGGTTTGTCTTTGCCACAAATATAAACATTAAGATAAAATTACATGATATGAAAAATATCTATTACCATTGTTATTATTGGTTAATAAATAAAACAGTAGGTTATCATCTAGAAACCATTAACTTAGAAGATTATAACTTTGTATATGTCTATAGGCATTTGAGGTTGACTCTGGTACACGAGCAAAAGATTTTTGCCAGAATATCTCTCAACGTCTTCGTCTGAAGTCTGCAGAGGGTTTCAGCTTATTTGTGAAGATTGCAGACAAAGGTAAGAATTTATTAAATTATTGTCATTCTTTAACAAGTGCACTACAGTGTAATTTATACTTTACTTGCTCAAGCACTATAAGTTCCAAATACCATTAAAAACACATTCAGTATCAGAATCAAAAGTGCTTTGTACTCAACGTATTGTCATGTTTATTTGTCATGTAAAATAGCTTGCCGTTTTCCATACTGTAGGCAAGCATATCATTTTTTTCTCTTTTATTTTCTTCCAGTTATTAGTGTACCAGAAGGTGACTTTTTCTTTGATTTTGTGAGGCATTTGACTGACTGGATCAGAAAGGCTAGACCCAGTAGGGATGGTGAGTAAAAACTGTTTGACATTATTTTCTTCCGCTGTCAATGTAATTTATTATGACCCCCAACAAAACAAATTTCTTTTTGGAACCAAATATCTAATAGATCTTGCATCATAATCGACTCTCTGTTTTAAGGAATCATGCAAGATCTCTTATAATTGTAATGTGGTTTTCTTTTTATTGCATTCAGGAACAATGCCAGTTCTAACCTACCAAGTATTCTTCATGAAGAAACTCTGGACCAACACTGTACCTGGTAAAGATCCAAATGCAGACTGCATCTTCCACTATCACCAGGAGCTGCCAAAGCTTCTCCGCGGCTACCACAAGTGCAGCAAGGATGAGGCAGCACAGCTAGCTGCACTTCAGTACCGTGTCCGGTTTGGCGATGACAAGTCTGAGTTCCAAAACATCCCAAGAGTCATGAAGGAACTTCTGCCGGCAGATCTGATCAGACAGCAGTCACCAGATGACTGGAAAAGAGTGAGTGATAATGAGCATTGCACACTACTGAAGCAACTGCTATTCTTTATTTTACTTGACACAAATTTAATAACCATAATGGAACATTAAAAGCTTAAAAAAAAAATGTTTTTTTTAATTTGTGATCTGTGAAACAACTTGAGGGACAGCCACCTGTGCTACAAACCTCCTTTGCTCTTTAGGAAATAATTGTATTCTGCATTTTAAACAGGCCAAAACATTCTATATTCAAACCCTTTTACATTATTGAGCTTTTAGCAGAAACATTGTTCAGGCTATATGCAATTTAACTGGCATAATTACCAGAACAACTTTACCTCTCCTTGTTTCAAGTCGCGTGGAGCATGACGGCAGCATAACACAATCAATGCAAAGGGTGTTTAAATATTTTATTAATGCACAGTACTGAAGAAGACATGACAACAACATTCTGATTATTATATATATTTAAAAATAGATTCTGCGTGTTAGCCTGTTGTGATAAGGCTGGAATTTATATGATTTATACTATTTTCTAATAGATGATTGTTGCAGCATACAACAAACATTCGGGGAAATCCAGAGACGAAGCAAAAGTGGCATTCCTTAAAATTATCTACCGTTGGCCAACATTTGGTTCAGCATTCTTTGAAGTCAGGGTAAGAAATCTGCATTATTATTTATTTTTTTATGTGCTACTATGACAATGAGGGTGCTGCACTCTGGCTATCAACACTAGTTTACATTACTAGTTAATCTATTTTGTTATTTTTAGTGAAAATGCATTGTCTTTAGTGAAAATGCATTATTTTTATTTAGTAAATAAAGTTTTCTTAAATTTTCAGCTATGTGTGCTTTCAATTTTGTTATGATTATGATCTTATTTTTTATTTATATTTATTTTTAAACAGCAAACAACGGAACCAACTTATCCCGAGATATTACTGATAGCTATTAACAAACTAGGGGTTAACCTTATTGATCCCAAGTCAAAGGTATGTCATTACATTTTCACCACTTTTTATTTATTTTAATACAATGAAATTGAAAAAATAAAAAATATTGACAGTGTAATAAATAAACATATATTAAAAATATATTTTGTAATAATAGCATTTATGTTTAAGTACTTCAAACTTTTTGGTTGTAAACTTATTTAATTGTATTACAGGCTCAGCATAAATTATAAAACAAATTTATAAATATATCAATATTTGTAAATCAAGATACAATATATTTTAATGCACAATTTCAAATTTAATGAAACATTAAAAAACAAATAATTTTAAAATGAATTCTTTAATATTCATAATGCAACAATACATTTTTATAATAATTGAAAGTTGTGTATTAGAAATAGTTGAATCTGAGAAACCATAATTGAGAGAATCATCCTAGATTCATCCTTGTGTGTTGTGTGTTGAATATTTAAACATCCAGAGTCTTTTATACTTTGGTTGGCTGTATTGCAAGCACTAGTTTATAGTAGAGTTTACACGTAGTATGTGAGTTATGATGGCTTTATTTTTATTGACTTATTTAATTTTCTAAGTTGTATTTCTTTCTTGAATCCTATAGGAAACACTTGCTACTTATCCATTCACCAAGATATCCAATTGGAGCAGTGGAAACACTTACTTCCACATGACCATCGGCAATCTTGTGCGCGGGACCAAGCTTCTGTGTGAAACATCACTTGTAAGTTTTTTTATTTTCATAGAAATCAACAATGTTATTAACTAAACATTCTTTAATCTGCTTCATATGTAGCACATTCTGGATGCGATGGCAAGAAGAAAAACAAATGCAACTAGACTCACTATGTCTGTTTGTAAAAGCAGGATATAGGCCTTTTCCATATTAACCATATTATGAGAACTGATGTTGAAATTGGAAAGTAAAAACAAATCATATAAAAACAAGTATGAACTAAAAAAAAAAATAATGAAAAATCTAAAGACTTGAATCAGGGCTGCAAGGGTTTTGTTTAGGTATGTACAGTTCTAGCCATTATGGCTATAAAACCCAGAAATTGATGGAAGTACAATGTAAGTCTGCACCATAACTATAGCAGTGGGGACCTCCAGCCAAGGCAAAATATTTATAATTTATTATGACCCAGGAAACTACTAAACTAAGCAAAGTTGACTGTTAGATAGGCAGCTTATCCACACTTGGTTCTGCTTTTATTTTTCTTGCTTCCTGGTAACCATCCTTGGAGGGGTTTGCCAGTCATTGACACTGACGACCTGAGAAAATGTTTAACCCACATACCCAGTGGTTATTGTAACATTCTTAACAGTGCTGTGGCCAGCGGTGGCTCCACAAATTTGCTGACAGTGGGTCTGACATGTCCGACCTGGAGTCCGAACTAAGGGGCCGACTAGAGCCTCAATCCTGGTCCTGGAATTAAAAAAATCCCTGGCAGGTAGGGTTCACGGGAAAGTTTTTAGAATTTAGTATGGCCCAAATTTTGCTTTTAGACCATTAAATTAGGGATTAGCAATCAAAATAACGTTATTTGGATAGGCAAATTATTATTTGTTCCAATTTTTGGATGGGGTGGCATAGTGCTGGAGGTACATGATTTAAACCCAGGACCCTTTGATTTTCAACCACATTAACAAACAAGTTTCACCTTCTTAGTTTGGGAACCTTTGGCTGTTGATTGAAAAATTAACTTTTAAATTTTGAGATATTAATTTTAATGACTAATTATTTCTTTTGTTTTTGTAGGGTTACAAGATGGATGATCTTCTGACGTCATACATCAGTCAAATGCTGACGAACATGAACAAACAAAAATCAGCAGCGAAGTAAACTCTATAGGATTAATAGAAATAGAAAATATAGCAGGATGATGAGCTTATATTATGTGTGGAAAAAAAAAGAGAAAAGAATGATAGTGTTGAATGTTTACCTTGATTCTAAAAAAATTTTTTGTTAATTTTGAGATTATATATTATTGCATCAGATACAATCACTAATGGTTGACATTCTAAAGTTATAATTTTGGCAAGCCTGCTGTAATCCTTGTATGAATAAAATAAAATCTTGAGATGTGCATTATGTGATTGGCTGTGATGCTGGTTATAGCCTTTATTTCATACTCTATGTATATATTATACAGTATGACCACTTCTGACTTCCAGTGATGGTTTATCTAAGTGTAATATTAAGCCAACTAATTTTAACCTGCAATAAAAGACCTAAACCTTGAGAAGTTTTATAAACTCAGGTCAACTGAAGTTCATTGACCCTGAAGATATATTTTGTAGCTGCTAACGAAAACAAATTAGTACTCGGACATAGATTAAATTTTAATGTAATAGCAGAATGATGCCTTGGTGAATAATATTAATGCCTGGATATATTTTATAAGTACTGTAAGAGTATTGTGCTGTATTAAACTGCTGTAAGGTAAAACATCATTATTGTCTTCCATATCATAATAGTCATGTAAATCATGGTATAATAGGCACTTTAACCACTAGGCCAGTGTGACTTTATTTGGAAGCAATTTTCTTCACCATGCTTGCTTGAAACAGTACTACAGTAATTCTTCATGAATTCGAGCAGAAAAGAGATAAATTTGATACATTCTTACGTTAAGTATTGTTGCAAATAAGACAGGATCTCAAATAAGTACAGCTATGGAAAATATAAAGAGTGTATATTATGGCATAATATAATGTAGATATAACACATTCCACTTATATTTTGTATTATGATTCATGTGAAATTATGGTTTATAATCATTTAATATAATTAAAAGGAAGAATTGTAGTATTAAGTTCAGTATAAGTGCAGAGATGTTGGGCCATTTCAAAACCTTGCAACTTTTTTTATGTGTCTTACTAGTTTAATATCTCAGGTTATACATTTTACAACATCAAAATGTTCACAAGTATTGGTGTTGGACGATTGTACTAATTCTAAATAATAGAATTTTTTTATTTTGGATTTTTGTATGATACTCCAAAAATATATATATAATTTTCATGTGGTAACATGAAAAAGCTGATTTGTTAAGTTGTTTATATGCCTTAAATATTGAAGAAAGTTTTTTTTAAAAAAACATTTATATAATTATGAAGAAATCATTTGACTTGTTTAAGTATTTATTAGATTGTAGTACTTTGTATCAATTTAAAATAAGCTTATTGCATTCCATGTAAATGAAATCCATTATTTTTCTACTTTGTTTAATATTCTGGACTTATATATAAAAGTGTAGTTTTTAATGTATTTATCCCAATGGATTTCAAATAAAAAGTATTTGCTTAAATTATTTGTTACATAATCGGTGTGTGGTTCCTTGAATTCCAATACATATCACCTTGTTTTGTTAATCCATATTTTATATTTGTATAATAGGTTTAGTATTGTACTTCTATTTGTATAAATGGAAAATTTAAAATGACATTCAGGATAACAGTGCCTCTAGTATGATATAATATGTATATATAATTACCATTACATGTATATATATGGACGTATGTATGTATACGCTGTGTATCATGTTGATTTAGCGTATCAATTCTTAATATTTTTGAATACAAACTTTATGTTTAATCATATTAGGCTAGTAAATCCGACTGTTGTGATAATTTTGATTGGTTGAGTAATTTGTTACTTGGCTGGTGCCTATGCTTGGACTTGTGGTTATTTAACAGGCTACATCAACCAGCCTAGTGGGTTTCCAAGACAAGCAGACAAGTAAATGTGTGTTAGGCAATCTTACATAGTTGTGCCGAAATTGAAATTGTCAAGAGTAAGTTGATAATTATTTATTGTATTTATTATGAATTCATATTAACTTAGTTTACTTCTACATGTAATTGTCATACTTAACTAGCTACCTAGTTCTACAAATCATTGAGAATGCATTTTCTCATAATTTTCAAAATAGATTCGTGATAACCACCTGGTTCAATACTATACCTTAGGGCTATACGATTAATTTAAAATCTTCTTGGTATGATCTGTTGATTTTTTTTTTAAGGTTTTCGAGAGAATTCAAAAGACGGAAGAATCAGTTGATTTTTTTTTAAGGTTTTCGAGAGAATTCAAAAGACGGAAGAAAACTATCCTTGACAGTCAATTGTCATTAAAAAATATAGTCACCATTATACAATAGCAGCCTATTGTGGTGGATTAATAATGAGCGCTTCTACTATACGAGGCAGTTAGTACCAGTAGGGCTAAATTACGTAGTATTACATTGGTGTGTGTTTCTATAGAAATTGTTTGAGAAATCATCATCATAATAAAACATCTATTATAATGAAATATACTGTATTGTTTCCGTTTATCATTGTGTCGGCAAAAGGATTGGTAATATGCAATTGATCATAAAATATTACGCTTGAATAACAACTCTTACCTGGAAAATGGCGATATAATAAACTAATAGCACTAGGTCGTTGGTATTCTGTACATGGCATGATGTAGAAAGGGGTTGGAAATTGTTACTGCCAGGGTGGCCGCCACAAAATATTAGCTCACCGACCGTCAACTAGGTCGATTTCCTCTTCTGAAACGAAAGGGGGTATTCTAAATCTTAACTCCTTTGAGATGTTAGACTATGGTATGTTAAAGTGAAGATTCAGAAAATATGATACAAGACATTTCCTCCTTTTTTCTTTTTACTTTCCAAAAGGGGGTTGGGTTGGGTTGAGAAGGTCCATAAAACCATTCATGCGTTAACTCAGACATATAAAGATGTGGGCTGAATCACTCGTGCGGAACTCTGCTATGCAAAGTTGTAGGCTCATTGTGTGTACTGTAGCGTGTACCTAAATACAACGGTGGGGGAAACTAGAAGATGTAACAGCAGTATGTTCTATGAAGTTAAAATTTGTACTCGGTAAAATGGGTTATACTGAGCCGATTTTCACAATTCAAAAGTCGATATGAGGTACTATTTAACGTTAATTAAGATTTTTGGAAAGAAAATAATGAAATTATGTCTCTAAATAAAAGTTCATATGCATCAGCCGAATGTAGTACAATTGTTTATCAGTGTGATTAATCTGCTCAATAAACAATATTAATTACTTGTGCAAATATAAAGATGTGGGTAACCCACAGAGGTTTCATAATAGGCAAGTTATTATTAGGTGACGCATTCTTGTCACACGAGCGAAAGGGCCCAACAAGAAGGCCAGGTCATAGACTGCTCTAGTCGAGCAACAAGAAAGGCCCAAGGCCGCAATTATGATAATAATCCAAAGAGAAAAATAACGGGGGACACTACGACCGGTGTTGTCCCACAAACGATGTTTTTAACACGATTGTGTTGTGAGACCTTGGCAAATATATCCAAGGGGCGGGGCTTACCGGAAAGGTCCATTACGAAATATCAGGCTCAGGCTGAGCTGGATAGCAGTGGCAGCTCTAGGAGGATATAATTTAAGGGGAAGAGGGGTGACTGATGACAGGTGCTGGCACCAGTATAGAAGTGTATCAGCATTTTACTTGTCATCGAAAATGATCATTTAGGTAATCGGTTGATTTTTTAAACGCCGTATGTTAAAAAATAATTGGAACGATGTTATTTCCGCGTTATAAGTATCAGTTTCGGTGACATCACCAGTCATGATGGTGTGCCTAAACCTGATTAGGAGATTCTGATCTGATGATTATGGTGACTGGTGCTGGCACTTGTATAGAAGTGTATCAGCATTTTATTTGTCAAAGAAACTGATCATTAAGGTAATCGGTTGATTTAAACACCGTATGTTTGAAAAATTGGAACGGTGTTATTTCTGCCTTATAAGTATCAGTTTCGGTGACATCCACATTCATGATGCTATCACCAAACCTGATTAGGAGATTCTGATCAGATGATTGATGACTGGTGCTGGCACCAGTATAGAAGTGTATCAGCATTTTATTTGTCATCGAAAATGATCATTAAGGTAATCGGTTGATTTAAACGCTGTATGTTAAAAAATAATTTGAACGGTGTTATTTCTGCGTTATAAGTGTCAGTTTCGGTGACATCCACATTCATGATGCCGTCACCAAACCTGATTAGAGGATTCTGATCAGAGGATTGATGACTGGCACCAGTATAGAGTGTATCAGCATTTTATGTGTCATCGAAACTGATCATTTAGGTAGAGTCTGTTGCGAAATTTCAGTTTTTTCTTATTACTTACAAGCGATTGTACTGTATAAACGAATGCTTTAATTATTTGTATCTATTGATTAAAATGTTTATTGATTGATCAAATTATTAATTACTATATTGATTGAATTGTTTGTAAAATTAAATGAAGACTGATAGTAATTGATGGACTCTTTATTGATTGGTTGATTGATCGATTGATTAAATACTTTTGATCAATTTTTCAATAAATTTTGTTGAAGTGTTTAATCGAATGGTTAAATTATAATTTTTGTCATTCAAATTTTATTTGAGAAAACAAATCAATTAAAAAATGTATAATGATGAAAAATGTATAATAATGAAAATAATGTTAAAACTACGAATTACTTTTATTTCGTTATCTTTAAACAGACTGACTTCGATGAATGCTACAAGAAAGTGAATTTTTTCAATAGCCTTATAATATAAATTTATTTTATTTTAGTTAGGTCATTAGTTTCTGTTAATAAAATAAAAAGAGAAATTAAATGAAAGTGGATGAAACTTTTACAAAAGAGAGAAAAAAAAAACTTTGTCTTATGTTTGTGTTAACTGCTACTGGTGCACAAAAGGGGGTACACTTGATCAATTTTTCAATAAATTTTGTTGAAGTGTTTAATCGAATGGTTAAATTATAATTTTTGTCATTCAAATTTTATTTGAGAAAACAAATCAATTAAAAAATGTATAATGATGAAAAATGTATAATAATGAAAATAATGTTAAAACTACGAATTACTTTTATTTCGTTATCTTTAAACAGACTGACTTCGATGAATGCTACAAGAAAGTGAATTTTTTCAATAGCCTTATAATGTAAATTTATTTTATTTTAGTTAGGTCATTAGTTTCTGTTAATAAAATAAAAAGAGAAATTAAATGAAAGTGGATGAAACTTTTACAAAAGAGAGAAAAAAAAACTTTGTCTTATGTTTGTGTTAACTGCTACTGGTGCACAAAAGGGGGTACACAGAATCCCTAGGAGNNGGGGGGGGGGGGCAGGCAGGAGGCAAAGCCCACATAAAGCTATAAAAGCTCTGACAATTTAAGACTTTGAAACGCGTACTTGAGTTTGAATGTAATAACCTAATAATCTTCTAGTAGGCTTCATTTTGTGTTGTGGAAAGTGGGTATTGCAATGTAGATGATTGAATATGTGATCATCAGTGACAATGTTGTTAAATATCCTATTATCGTGAGGGTTTGTTATTGTATAGAATTCTACACTTTTTATAAAATACGTATATCTAATAATATTATTTTTTATATTATTAGTAAATCTCTTTGAAAAGAAAAATTCAAATGTCAATTTGTATTGCATTTTCAAAGTAATTTTATATCTATTTGTTCAACCTGAATACTGGTAGAAATTAAAATATTCCCAAACCTCTTTATCAGATTTCAATCATAAATAGAGGGCGGAAAATATCCCGTCATGCAAACACTACAGGTAATATCTCTAAAACATGCATTCGACACAATGTGGACACATTAGCTGAACATATTGAGGAGACAATGAGATAGACCTGATTTTTTTATTTTGATTATTACTGAGACGACTTAATTCATGTTGATAATCAATGCACCTTTATAAACGATAACCATGGTAGTTCTCACAAGAGTAAGTATTGCTCATTCATTAATTGGGATCAGTAATTCATTGTTTTGTTTTTCTATTTTATTTTATATACTATATGATACAACAGAAGAGATACTTGGACCCTCAGTTTGGTAAGAAATTAATATCAATTTTTGTGTCATATGTCATCAATCTTAATAAAGTGTATTATGAATTCGTCAAAAATATCAGCATTTTAGGCATACTCTAGCCTACACCATATATCTGTGTTGTTTTTTCTGTATATCTAAATAGAGACTAGTATACAGCAATATGGAAAACACTTACTAAAAAGAAGCAAGATTGTTTAACAGGATGGAAGTTGCAGAAAAAAAACCCAGTTTGTTGCATTGTTAAAATATAAATAAGTCATTAGTGCTAGAACAAACTTCAATATCCACTATGCATTGTTGATTCAGTCAGCATTTTAGATATGGTATATATTTGTTTTAATTTTATAGCTTTGAAATATTTGCAAGTACAAACTGAATAGCAACTGCACAATGGTGTACTGCAGACTTTGCTCTAATCAGAAAGATAAAGCACTACCCTATTGGCAAACAAATGATTCAGATCTAAGTGTTTCATAAACTACTCAATATAAAATAGATACTAAACTAGGAAATATTCAGAACCGTCTGGTACAATACAGGAATCATCATTGCTATGACATATTCCTTGTTTTCGTTTTAAATATCTTTCCTGCTCACACCCGAGCATGGAGCTCCAAAAAATTTCCATACTTCACTAATGTACCTGTGTTGTATAAAGCATGAAGGAATTGTATAAAGTAAGGAGCTATAGTTTTATGGCTGAAATACTTGATTTCCAGCACCCAACAAAAACAACTTCACTTCACTAACCCTAATAATTATAATGACATTAAAAATTATATATGTAGTAGCATTCAATCTCCAGTTTACTGTATATTATATTATATTATAAGAATATTATGTAAGAGCACAACACCGAAATGTTTACAGGGTACTTGCTTGCATGCAGGTCAAACCAATTTAATGTTAAATACTCTCTTGCATAATTACTTAAAAACGATGGGAAAAATGTATTTGGATCTTGTTTTGTATAATAATTCCAATCTTTACTGAAATAGACCTGTTTTTACATACTGCTATCAAGGATAATGTTCCTACAATCACTCCTTAAAAAATGTCTTCCCCCTTGGTTCGATAAGTCCTTGCGAGCTGCATTAAAACTTAAAGAACATAAGCGAAGAATATTGAAGGAATAAAATACTCCATTTTATAAAGACGATTTCAAGAGTGCTCCTAGGAAATTATTTATCGTATTTTTCATCTATTTCTGTTAACTCAATGAGAATCCCAAAAGGTTCTAGTCTTGGATGAGGACTAGCTATAAACAAGCCCCTCCTCCTTCCAGGATTTCGTATGGACAATTGGATGCATATACGCCGCGTAGGGTATCTGCCACGTACGATCTTTGCATGTATGCTGTAACCATGGCTGTAAATTGTGATTGTTACAGCATGCACGCAAAGATCGTACGCGGCAGATACCATACGCGGTGGTTATCCTGCGCGGCGCTATTTACACGATCTTTTGTTACTTGTTCGACAGTGACGTCATGCTAAAATCGTATATAATTGCCTATAACTTCATAAAAAATAGCCAAAAAACGATTTTAAGGTTGATTCTATTATTTATGGCATATCAAAAATCCACTCTAGAACAAAAAAATCATTTAAACTATTAACAACTTCTATATTCTCGATCTTCAGATGTAGTATGGTCGTAGATATGGCAAACTTTTTTTTAGCGGACATGCCGCCCTCTAAAATGATGATTCGAATAAAACAAATTTATATTTGGCCAATTAGCACACTCACCGCCATGATAAATGGAAATTTCAGAAGGAAAAAATGTTGCTTTATTTTTATTTTTTGGGCCTACCATGTTGTTTAATACGACAAATAAATTTAAAGTGTTAAAAACGTTGTATATCGCAGGGAAATATGAAAAGGAGCGGAAATCAAGTTTTAATTAGCAAAAATATAATGATGGTCACCGAATGGGTATTTTATAAACCGAGAGAAAAAATGGAAAACATAGAGGAAAATTCATAACTGTGAGTGAGGGGACACAATCTTATAAATATTTGCACTATATTTTGGGTTTGTATTAGAAGAATACATTTCTTCTAATAAAAAAAAAATACAAAAACAAAAAAAAAGAACAACTTTAGTCATTCTAATCTAAAAGAACAATTTGATTGCACACTGTCGAAAAAATATGATCATATGCTAAGGTCTGCTAAGAGAAGCTTATCCGACTTTTTTAGGACATTCCGCCCTTTTTCTATAGGTTTACCCCGCCCGCCCGTTCATTTTTCTTATCTAGTGATGCTAAATCAATAGAGAAACGTTGGTCCCTGAAAAAGGTCACCGGGGCCCTGATTTTCACTACAAAATAAGAAAGAAAGGGGGAAAGAAAAAGATAAAAGGAAAAGAAATGAAAATCGTAAGACAGAATAGGAAAAGAATAAGAAAAAAGACATAAGAAAGAAATGGAATGGAAAGGAAGCATAAGAAAGAAAAGGAGAGACTAAAACAGAAAATGAAACATAAAAACAAAAGGAAACATAAGAAAGGAAAAAAAGAAGAAAAGGAAACATAAGAAAGAATAGGAAAAAGATAAGGAAACATATGACAAAAAAGGAAAGTGTAAGAAAGTGAAAGAAAAGAAAATATCAAAAGACATTGGTATAACTGTGGTTAAAAAATGAGAAAGTAAATTAATAAAATGATGAGTCTTGTTACATTTTCTTCTTGTGATATGTATCTTGTTTTTTTCTCTACTGCTTGTTTGACACTGCCCAGCACGTATTTAGGTGGAGATGTTTGCGCTTTATAAATCTTTATTATTATTATTATTATTATTATTATTATTATTATTATTATTATTATTATTATTATTATTATTATTATTATTATTATTATTATTATTATTATTAATAGGCATATTATATTATTATAAGGCCTATTATTATTATTATTATTGTTATTATTAATAGGCATATTATATTATTATAAGGCCTATTATTATTATTATTATTATTATTATTATTATTATTAATATTCAAACTTAAAACAATGATTAATTTAGTCTTTTTGCAAGTACACGACTTTTAATATCAATCAAGAGATTTTTGCTTTTCTCCCCTTTTTAACTTTCAGTTTTGTCTATTCTCAAATAAAGTGAAATCACCTCGACCTGACAAAATAACGTAAAATTATCAGCCATACATATTGACAAATCAAAAAAGCTCCAAAAAATACGAAATGGTTCTTCTTGCAACATTATCGTTCAAAAGCGAGAATAGCCCAGCAAAAGTGACATTAGCTGTTTTAGGTCATTTTTTGTCTTTCCACAGTCGTATCTGGCAAATACTTGTTGGATTTTTGTATTCCCTTCTGCATTTGGAAGGAAATTCTTTTCTGATTGCTTTAGTATTTGGTGATACGCTTCCGTGAGCGTATCACCTTTGTTTTCATTCGGATTTTTCTTCTTTCTTTATTTATTTCTTTTTTTTTTATACTTTCCCACCTTTTTTGTTGGTCGATTTTCTAAAAAAACGGCACGTGCTTGATCTTTGCTACTTACGTAGCATTAGATCTACCTCTGAAGTTGTGCACCTGACTTTGTGAATGACGCGCTATCCATAACTTCTTTACTAACAGGTATTTTTCAATGAAACTTGACACAAGTATTACTTCACATCAAGTATCAACTTCCTGCACCATTACCGTCCGCGCATCCACAGTAAAGTACGTGCGTACGCGTGCGTCAAAATTTAAAAATGCTCAAAATCACTTTTTGACTAAATTAGAGCATGTTGTAGGTCATTTTGAGCATTTCGTAATTTTTCGTCCCGTGCGCATTTTTACGCGCGCGCGGGACGCAGAAGCTGGAATTATCGTTTTTTTTTTACATGTTTTAGGTTCCTGACATGTATTCACAAATTTCCAATCTTTTTCGGTCATTTAGGGTCAATAACAATGCTGTTCGCGCGCATAAAAGATACGAATCCATGTGCGCGTTTTTGTCGACTTAGAGCGGAAATAGGCAAAAAGTCATGCCTATTTTCAATCGGTTATAGCTCCTTAGGATGATCGGTGACCCCCAATTTTTACTATATATTCTGAAAGCACCTAAGTTGTAGATATGATTTTATAGATACTTCGAGGAAGATTATAACTTAGACAATTCTCTTTCATAAATGTCACGACTTTTTACATTTTGATGACGTCATCATTTTTTACATAATTTTTTTTGACCATTCATCTTTCTTTCCTCAAATCATTGAAATCGTCTATATCACCATAAATAATTGACATTTCTAAATCATATTTAATTGGCATAAAACTTGAAGTCAAGTATGAATGTAATGCGCGCAAATTTTCCCTGCGCGCATCATAACATGCGCGTCGAAAATTTAAGTGCTCAAAATCATATTTTCAATCAGTTATAGCTCCTTGGAATGATCGGTAACACCCATTTTTTATAATACATATTCTGAAAGCACATGAGTTGTAGATATGATTTCATAGATCATAATGGCTAATGGAAATTGTGACGTCATCATTTTGCCATCTGAATAATTAAAAAAAAAACTTTTTTCTTTAATTTCCTCATTTCATATTTATTTAAGCGTATCTTTCTGATTGTTAGTCAATCGTTTCTCATCTTCTGAGTAAGTTAAGGCTGAGACAATTCTCTTTCGGAATCATGTCCTTCATTTTCATTTTGATGACGTCATCATGGTCAAAATGAATGATTTTTGGACCTCTTCATCTTCAATTATTGAGAAATAATATATTGGACAGACCAACAGAGGGCGGCAGATTGTATTTCGACGCTATCAGACTGATCATATAGTTCATATAAAGGGAAAATTCGTATCGTTACGACGAACAGGTATCAAAATTGTGCGTAGATGACATCACGCGTGACTGGCAACCTTAAAAAGCTTGTTATGACTATTTCAGATGAAGCCAAATGTTCGTTGAAGTTGGCATGTGTGTAACTCGCTGCAATTTTGAGATATCGTGCGAACAGAAATGGGGAGAAAGAAAGAAGAATACGAAAAAGAAGACTGGATTTGAACTCGTCACTGAGGACGAGTTAGGTGATCCGCCCGACTTGACCAGAAGTGTGCTGAAAATGACTTGAAACGTGCTTTAAATTACTGCATCTAAAAGGTGATATTTAGAATGTTAAAAACTTCAACGTACGCGCACAGGAAGACGTGCACGCGAAGATGCGTGCGCAAACTATAATCAAATACCACCTTTTAAATACAGTAATTTAAAGCAGGTTTCAGGTCATTTTCAGTACACTTCTGGGGTCGATGTCCGGTGGATCACCTAACTCGTCCTTAGTGACGAAAACATAATAATATTCTTCATAAATTGTAAACCTATGGCAGATGCAGGCTGGAATTGGGTTCAATCATTCAAAAATCATCAAAATAACTATCATCAGTCCCAGCGTATCACCGAATTCGTCTATGACGAATTCCGAATCTAGTTGTTTCAATTGTATTGCTTGAAAAAGTTCACCGTCATTTTTCACTCTTCTATTGATGCTATGCTGAAAGAAGCCCACCGCGCGTAGAGACTGCATTTTGACCTCGTTTTACTGACTTCGTTTAAGTTGCCATTTCGGCTGTTCACCAATCAAATATCTTGTTGTTCATTCCCCCAGTAAACGGAAAGCTGAATATTCATAGATTCTTCTCATATAAAATATATAAATTGCAATTGGATGAAAAAAAATCACCATCAAAACACTAATTTCAATATGAATGAACAATCCTGTCTAGGCATTATGCCCGCAAAAATGTGAAGCTTTGGTATAGCCTTCCGCCACCATTGTCAGAGGGCTGAAGGCCCTGGCCTTAAAAAAAAAAATATCTCTAGCGACTTCGTTGGCTTTAAATTGCCATTTCGGCTGTTCATCAATCAAATATCTTGTTGTTCATTTCCCAGTAAACGGAAAGCTGAATATTCATAGATTCTTCTTATATAAAATATATTTATTTATTTAAACAATATTTTGTGAGGGTGGTCCATCCAGTCTAATCTGATCAATTGGGACCCTCAGTACATACAATTAGAACATAAGTATAAAAATTTAACTTGATCTTTAACATAAACAAATTAATTAAATTAAACCAGAATATGAATTCCCATTGGATGAAAAAAAATCACCATCAAAACACTAATTTCAATATGAATGAACAATCCTGTCTAAGTTCGTGTGGGAATCGAACACACAACCTCCATGTTTGCTATTCATTATCAACCATCAACTGAACTGCCTTAAAAAAAAGAAAAAAGTTGGTTCGTGTGGGAATCGAACACACAACCACCAGGTTTGCTATTCATTTTCCACCATCAACTAAACTGCCTTAAAAAAAGTTATTTTATTTTTTATTTTTATTGTTATATTATCATGTTTTTAATATAAAGTGACTATAATTAAAGGATGAATTGTCATGTCGGTTACCAAGGAATCACCCAAATGATTATAAAGCATATGATATAATTAGAAAAAAAAATATTGTAGCAATGAGTACCCATAATTGACTGACTAATAAATCACAATTGTTACAATATTTTTATGTATTAAAAGAGAACTAGCAAAATGATTTTTTGTTCTAGAGAGGATTTTTGATACGCCATTAATAATAGAATCAACCTTAAAATAGTTTTTTGGCCTTTTTTTTAAATGAAGTTATAGGCGATTATATACGATTTTACTATGACGTCACTGGCGAAAAAGTAACAAAAGATCGTGTAAATAGCGCCGCGTAGGGTATTCTGTGCAAACCCTGTCTCTTATACACATCTAGATGTGTATAAGAGACAGTTGTTACAGCATGCACGCAATGATCGTACGCGGCGGATACCCTACGCGATGGATACCCTACGCGGCACTATTTACACGATCTTTTGTTACTTTTTCGCCAGTGACGTCATGGTAAAATCGTATATAATCCTCTATAACTTCATAAAAAATAGCCAAAGAACGATTTTAAGGTTGATTCTATTATTAATGGCATATCAAATATCCACTCTAGAACAAAAAATCATTTTGCTAGTTCTCTTTTAATGGTACTTGTATTAGCAGAGTTTATGTACAAAATGATCTTGGTGTCTTCATGGATTCAAAACTTAATTGAACTATCATGTTGATGCCGTAGTCAAAGGCAACCGATTGCTCAGAGTATTTTGGCGTCATTGTAAAACCCTCGACCAAAAAACCAAATTGCATCTTTACATTTCTTTAATAGACCTATTTTTGATATTTGTAGTGTTGTATTTATAATTCTATTTCTTTCTTTCTCTTTCTTTCTTTTTATTTAGGCACACAATACATGTGCCAAGGATTGTCAATAGCGAATATATCACTGTCCTACTTGTAGGCGACACTCCCTTACACAATACAAACATACACACACGATGCTTTACACAAACTAAATCTCAATATGGGATTTAGGGAGTGGAGTTGTTTTAATCGTGAGAAAAAAATCCTGGACAGGAATTGAACCCAGGACCCTTGGATTTGAAGGCAAGCATCTTAACCACCAAGCTATTATAATTCAACTCGGTTGTACAAGCCCTTTAGATTGAGGGAGTTCAATCTAATTTTTTTATATTTTATTAACTCAACAACTTGAGAAAGTTTATACTGTGTGTTTATGTATAGACGGGTGTGTGTATAGGCTTGCATACATGTTCCATGTTTATTTTTCATTAAGTTTTCGTTAATTGAAAAAAATGTATTCATTAGTTAATTTAAGATACACTGTTTTTCTCTAGTTAAGACCTGTATGCCGCATTACTTGTTGAGTGCCACAGATGTAAATGGTGCATATCGATAAATTATTATTATACCCCTAGATCTATTCTATCCGTGTGTCATGTTTATTGAGTTTATATCAAAATATTGATGTTTTTGGCAGGTAACTGAATCAAATTTGATTTATTTTATGTTTATTGCACCTTTCAAGTCGTCACAAAGTTTGTTGTTCAACAGTATCTTTCTGTTTAATATCTGTTAAAAAAAGTTACAGGCCCCGAACTATACAATTTTTTAAATTTCTGAAGTAGTAATTCACTTACCAATGAAATCAATGTCTAGCTAACTTTCGAAACTCATTTTTACCGGTTACTAAAATAATATTCTTCGTATCCTTCGTCTCACCTTTTAGCCACGGTCTAAAATATAAATGTTGTTCGTTTTTTCTCTTGTTTTGTCGATGCTGCTGTGTATTTCTTTGGGTTTTTTTGTCCATGTCTGTTTTTCTTTTTGTCAATTTTCTGCTTTTTAAAAATGTTATTTTGCTTTGATGATTTATGTTGGTCCAGCACAAAGTTTGTTTAATCTAAGGCCTATTGAGTCTTTGTCTTCTTGATATTTATTCATTTGATGTTAATTTTGCAATAAAGTAAATAATTGTCACTCTTAAGTGAACTGAATTGATTAGTGCCATACCTAAAAAAATAATAATTTATAAAAAATTATATGGAAATTGATTATTCATCCATAGGGAGATTATGTGTGGTTGGAAGACCCACGTAAGAAAAATAAAACATCCGGCGATGTTCCCATCGGTGCTCGGGTCAAGATTGCTGATTCCGGTCAGCTCCAACTCCAGGATGATGAGGGAAAGGTAGGAATATATTACATGTTAAAATATAGTAATTTATAGAATCCAAACTCATGTCATGAAAACTCTACATCGCTTCCCTGGTATTTAATAATTAATGCTCTGTGCAAACCAAATACATTCAACATTTAACATCATGTTCCCTATTTACAAGAGTACTTATAACCTGCTCTCATACAATTGACTGAAAGGCTCACACATAGGGGAGCTGTGGTTAAGCTAGAAAAGCTTGAAGGCCGCAGCTGTGAAATCATAGTAAATAATGCTAAAAATTTGCTGCGTAACACCGTAAACACAATACTATCAACAAATGGATAAATAATAATAATAACAGTGCTCGAATAGGAACATGTAAATCGTATCAAGGAAAGCTCATCAATGAGTTCCTTTATTTCGGTTGTATGAAAAAGTGTCTCTGTAGCGGGATTCGAACCTGCAACCTCTAACTATTAAGGCGAGTATCATATCTATGGGTCCATAGCAACATATAGGTTATAGGCGAGGATCTAACCCTGAGGCACTTTCTTTCATACAACTGGCTGGAATGCTCACACATAGTGAATCGCTAAGCTAGAAAAACTTGTAGGTCGCAGCTGGGAAGTCATAGTAAATCATTCAAGTCAAAACCCATAAAATTTATAAAAAATTAAATTTGTATCACATAACCAAGTGTTATCTTGTGAGATTTCACACTGTAAATAGTAAACCAAACCCATAGTAATTATACAAATAAATTTGTACTATGTAAACCAAGGTTTGTCTTGTGAGGTTTCACCATGAACAATGTTGAATAAACAGTTTGTACAGCGTTGAAGTTATAAAAGGTAGAGTCTTTCCTACATTGCAATTATAATTATAAAGGATTGTTGTAGGTCCTACTCCAAGTTTTACAAAAATAAGTAGATTTAATATCGATTTAGGGATAATATGACCATTTCAGATTAAAATCTGTATTACCAGTATAAAATGATGCGTTTATATATACAATGTTTTTTTCAGGACCATTGGATATCATCAGATGTTGCCCAGAAGCTTCGTACAATGCATATTACATCCATAGAGGGTGTCGACGACATGATACGCCTGGGTGACCTCCATGAAGCTGGTATCCTGCGTAATCTGTTGGTCAGATATCAAAATAACGTGATATATGTAAGTAAAAGTTTTAGAAGGGTCTTGAATGTGAGATTATTTGTGATAATAAATGTAAGACTATAATTGCAATTGTGAGAACAATGAAAAATAAATATGAGGATGAATATGAGACTATAATAGAGGAATTAATGTGAGAATGAATGTAAGAACATAATGAAGAATCAATGTGTGAGTTAAGACCCCATCATGAAGAGTAAATATAAAACCATTGATCAAGGATATTTGTGAGCTTGAAAACGAACACGAATCTGAAATGTATTGGGAAGAATGGATGCAAAAACATTAGTTTGATAAAACCTATTTGAGTTTTACTTTATTCATTAATGTTACACTCTGGAATCAGGAAAGGTAACACGTTTCCAATATATTATATAGTTTACTTCACTAGCAGTAGTATGTGTCACTGTTTAGTTTAATTACTTTGTTTTTTATGAACAAAAGCAGCTGCATTTTGTCTGTTCAGTAAATGTGAATGTTAACTGTTATTGTGCATAGTATGCAAAACAAAAATTCACTTAATTAAATTAATTTAACAACGCGATTTATTTTTTTGGAGTTTTTAGTTTTCTCTAAAGCATTCTGCATTATATAGCTTTAAGCAATTCATTTGTTCATAGCACACGTATGGTTATCTGTGTTATCCAGTCTTGGCAAAACCAGACAAATAAACATTTCCAGATACTCTGGGTTGTAGGTTAGTTCTTTGGAGTAATTTTTCAGTTTCTGTTGTTGTTAGGGTGTCCGCAATTATTAGTTTCAGCATGGAATATGACTTAATTTTAAAAGTTTATCCTTTTGTAATGATTTTTGCTTGTTTTTCCCCTTTTTTGCAATTTTATTTCTAATTAATTTTATAATGTGTTTTTATATATTTATGCGCTCTAAATTGTTCTTAGCTTTTATAACTTTTACATTTTAAAATGATTTTTTTTAAAGAGATGGTTTTATATACAGCTATCTATTTTTGTACTCGAATGTTTTATGTGTTATTGTACTGTATGCGCTGCCAAGAGAGCCCTGTGAAAATAACTTTGCGTTGCTTTTGGGCAATCCTGCCAGTCAGCCATACATTTTTTTTAATTGTTTTTACTGGTGAAATAAATGATATGATATGATATGATATGATTTACCTGATTGTGTTTCAGTTTCTGGTGTTCAGTTGCTTGTTCAAGGGTAGTACAAGTGCTCATGTTTTTGTTAAAAAACCTCTTGCAATATGTTTTAATTAATTCATTATGTTTTCTTAACAGACCTTCACCGGATCAATTCTAGTCGCTGTAAACCCCTACCAGATCCTTCCTATCTACACAGGCCAACAAATCAGAGAGTATAGGGACAAGAAGATTGGTGAGGAACCACCGCACATCTTTGCCATTGCCGATAATGCTTACTGTCGAATGTTGCGAGAGGTGCATAACCAGTGTGTTATCATCAGGTGCGTACACACAATTACGCTCTCTTTTGCAGATTTATTCAGAAAATACGATACTAAAACTTTTGTTATCCCTGAATTAATGGGATGTGTAATAATTAGTCATACACTACGGCTGCCTGGAAAGGTTTCGTACAGACTAGACTGAAAACATTTGGTGAAGACATGTTCAAAATATCAAGTTTAATATGACAGATACCTATAAATTATGGGTGTGGTATAACATGAACATGCCCGCATAATGGGAAAATCTCATATATTTGTCACATAAATCTTGATAGTGCAGACAAACCATATTATGGCATTCATTGTTATATAATATGCATAAATGTAAATGTATTTAATCATTATATATAATCATGTATTTTAAAGGTGGATGCTTATATATATATATATATGTATATATATACATATATAAGTATATGTATATATGCATATATATGTATGTATATGCATATTATATAATCATATATATATAATATATAATCTACTACTTTTGTAAAGAAAAAACCTGTCTCTTATAC